ACAGAAGGAAAAAAGATTTTTTTGCATGCAGAGCAACCTCCCCCCCCCCCCCCCCCCCCCCCCCCCACCCCCCCCCCCCCCCCCCCCCCCCCCCCCCCCGGCCGGCGTGTGGTCTGATCATGCCCACCGGCTTCCTTGGATTGCCGCCAAGGAAGGTGACCTTATCAAATCTTCATTTTTGAAGTTTCTGCTGGCCCAGCCAGCCAAGCGGGAGCCAGTGGTCCGAACCACCATGGTCCCTGGGCCCGAAAGATGGAACGAAGACATAGGCACCAACATCAAAAACTGTTAGAGATCACATAATTCTTGATCTCTTCTTCTTCCCCTTTACTCTCAGTTTTTGCTCTCTCTCTAGCTCCATCTCAATCAACTGATCGATCTCTCTCTCTTCTACCTTCTATCAGATTATAAATCCTTTACCTAATTAGAATCTTCACCAAAATCCAATCAACCTCTCTTTCTGTTTACTATAAAAAGTCAACAATCTCACTTACCCCGTTTAAGACCCACCAATAAAACCTCATCTTAAGCCTCATCAGTTAGGTCTCACCCCATCACACAGAACATCTCCAATATCACGAAAACCATCGATCGTTTACACCATCATTTATACCATCGCTTTCACTATCATTTTACACCATCATCTATACCACTATATATTCCTCTAGTACCTTACCTTATCTATAATTAACCCCGAATCATTACACATAACCAACCTCACCCTCGGAACACTAAATTAACTCTTAATCTACCACAATAATACTCTTCTATTATAGAACTAAAATCCAGTCTAACAGTAAAATATACCGATCTAAAAAAATCCTTTAAACAAAAACTTTAGCTTAACATCCTATTATTATAGAACTAAAGACTAATCTAACGGTACACTAATCTAAAAAGATCCTTCAAATGAGGGTTTTAATTCGATATCCTATTATTATAGAACTAAAGTCTAGTTTAACAACAAACCGATCTAAAAAGATCCTTCAAACAATAACTTTAGTTCAATATCCTACTATTATAGAACTGTCTAATCTAACAATAGATATTATATTAGAACATAACAGTATCACTAATAATCTATTAACTACCAACTCTATAACCTAAACACTCCCGTAACTTAGACACTTTATATAAACTTCTACCAACTATACAGCTTCGAATCCGCCCCATATAGCAATATCTATGTTAAAAACTACACCTATATCAATCAACTTTTTCCGTTAATCGACTATATTCAACAACATACAACAACGCAGTAACATCTATAAATTTAACTACCCAACACATCAACCTTTTCGTCAATATTCTAAACCTTCCTACCCTCATATAGGTTTCTAGGGGGTGAATTTAATAATCTTTCAACACATTTCTTACAATTCTCGGATAGTTTTTTAGGTAGTTTCTCTAGTATTTTTTACTAGGGATTCAAGACCAATTTTTTACCCTATTTTTCTGCATTTTGTTATCTCTTTCATCAGTTAGTTAGTCAGATCTGAGCACAGCTCATAAAAGGTGTTAGAGATCATATAATTCTTAATCTCTTCTTCTTCCCCTTTGCTCTCAGTTTTTGCTCTCTCTCTAGCTCCATCTCAATCAACTGATCGATCTCTCTCTCTTCTGCCTTCTATCAGAAACGCAGAAGCTATTTTGGTCCAGATCGTTAGGTGGGTAGTCGAGGTCCGTTATGACTATTGCCTCGCGGGGCGGGACATTTTCCCTCTCTGCGTAGTGATCGATGAGCCAGGCTTTCCAAAGTGCTGTGGAAACTGCCTCTACGGAGGCAAAGGCGGCCGTTGCACCATCCTCCAGCACGGCCAGCCCCAGCAGGGCTATCATCCCGCCACCGCCACCGGCTCGCCCCGCGCCAACCCCACCCCGCGCCTTCAGGCTGAGCTCCTTTCAATCTTCGACCGTCTCGGCGCCCAACACGAGCAGCTCTCCGTCCTCCAGAGCCGCCAGAGCACTGCTGTCGCTAAACACCAGTCGGCAGCACAGAGTGCCTCTGTGGCTCTGGAGGGCGTGATGTCCCGGGTGAACCAGAGTCTCCCCGTCCGCCGGACCGACGTGGTTCGCTGCCGCGATACCATTGCCGCTGCGACAATAGACCATTGGGCCATTATATTCTCTTCATCGACCCCAACTTCACTATCACCGCCTGCACCAACTGCCACTTCAATGGCAGCAAGGAGAGATATGACTTTCACAGGCCCACTCCCGGTCAACCAATCCGTGGCCATCAGCGGATCCGGTAGTCGACCTCATCCATTGCTTCGGTCTTTGTTTCCGAAGCCGCTGGCTTCGCTGGCATAAAGCCAGATACATGATTTCCACAGAAGCAAGAACCAATATTCCATGAATTGAGAAAGAAGAGAAGGAGGGCTACTCTACCCCGTACACCGTGGGGCACATGACCCTCCCAGCACTTCGAGAGCGAGAGAAGGCAAAAACTTCCACGAACATACAACAGTGAGAATTAGCTGGTGGTCACCTACCCAACTACTTACTCACCAGCGTGTGGCCTAGACGTGTCCGATAGCCGGGTGGGTGTTGCCCGGGTGAGAGGTGGGCATGCGCCGCTTGAACAGTCGCGCGACCGGCGGTGACAAGAGTGAGAAGCTAAGTGGGAATCACAGATCGTCGCCCGGGCGTCACCCGGGCACTGCACTGACCTTCCAAGCTCAGCTGCAGTTGTCAGTCATTGGATTGTAGTGTTCCTTTTGAAACACAATCACGCCCTTACAGCCTCCAAGAGGTAAAGCAACATATAGCCCAAGGCTCATCAAGTTCAATGTACCGATGGCACGAATTGGGTGTACCATGCGAGACTACGGATTGAGAGTAGAGAGCGAAGGAGATGAGGTGGAGAGAGAACCCTTAGGCAGCTTCCGATGTGTTTGATTTGGACCGGAGGAAGGGTGCCCAGGTGGCTTATTACCCAGGCACCCAGGGAGCCAAACAAAGTGCCCAGGTGGATGCTGACCTCGGGACCTCGGGAACACTTTACAGTTATACATAATGACCCTACGCCCGCGGGCTCAACCTCCGACTACGTAGTATAACAAGATATATTTAGAAACTCAAATATTCAACGTCGGAACTGAGTATACCTGGGCACAGAGCACTCCGTAGGCAATCCGTACTTCATATTCTTTTGTTTGCGACGAGACCAGGATATTACTATTATGAGGCGAGCTAACCCCTTTTGGGGCATTCCGGAGCACCTGGGCAAACACCTGTGGATCAAACATCTTTATTTATTAAAGCGCATCTTGCGCAACTACGCTTGGCAAACAGTGATTATTGGTTGATGTCCATGTGGTCAGAGGCACTAGAGCATTCCCCTGTACAGAGTACGGATTGGTTTGCAGAAATGAATAGCAGTTGGGCACCACAGCACAGGGCTATATGTAGCCTTTAACACCCAGGCGTGCCTGGTGCGGCTGAGCAAGAGTTTTTCCCTGAGAAACAAACACACAAGACAAGAACGACGAGGCCAGGTCTAAAATTCCATAATTCATCATGCCCAGATCCGAACTTGTGAATGATATGAAACTGAGCGCTGTGGTTCGTACGGCTGACAACGGTGATATCATCACCGAGCACAGATACCAATCCAATAGTACCTTGGAAAATATTGGAAGATGGCCAGAGCCAGAACTCTGGAAGAGAGGGAAAATGCTCGGGGAAGGAGGCTTTGGGGCCGTCTGGGTTGAAAAATTCACATCAACTCAAGGGTCAACAAAGATCCGAGCTGTTAAGATGATTACACAGTTGTCTGATCCACGCAAAAGGTCATATTGTGACCAAGAGCTGGAAGCCATTGCAAAATTCTCTCAAGCCAAGGTAGGCACTATAACGAGATTCCCCTTTGCTATGGATGCTAATATTGATTAGTACTCACATTTGTTTGTGCAATGCCTCGGCTGGTTCGAGAATATGAATTCCATCTACATTACCATGGAACATATTGAGTTAGGGGACCTCCCAAAAAATCTGACGAACACGCTACCGGAAGCTGAGGTACAGCGAATCTGCTCCCAACTTCTACAAGGCATTCAGTGTCTGCACGAGAACAGGCTTGTGCATCGAGATCTCAAACCCCAGGTAATAACCGAAGACTCTTCCGATCAGATTAAAAAAAGATTTTGCTGACTGTACAAGAATGTCTTTGTTACAGCCAAAGGCCCCAAGTGGAATGTTAAGATCGGTGACTTCGGTATCAGCAAGAAACTTCATGAGGATACTGACTTGCGAACGAACATTGGCACTACGCTTTACTGCGCACCCGAAGTACTTCGGATATACCCTCTCGGTCGATTATCGTCGAATCTCGAGATCTACACGGATCGCGTTGATATTTGGTCACTGGGGGTAATGGCTTTTCATCTATTTACCCAAAGCCACCCATTTCTCCAAAGCATTGACCTCACAATGTATGTTCGGGGCTCCCCTCTCCCGTCCTTCACCATGACTCGCCCCGTTACCGAACAAGGCCAAAACTTTTTGAGACGCCTTCTCACTGCCGACGCAACGAAAAGACCATCCGCTAAACAAGCCTTACAAGACATATGGTTTAAGCAAAGTTCCTTCGATCTGGTCTCGGAGAACTCGAAAATGGGGATTTCAACGAGGTTGATGACAAGGCAAGATTCGGAATCAACCACTACCGAGGTGCTGAAAGCTGGGGAAGATCACTCTAGGAGTTGGAGTCACCAAGAAACATCTTCTGTGATGGGCGAAGAGCAAACAATCAGGCCTGCGGATTTTTCAAGGAATCAAGCTGAAGCCCCACAGAGTTCCACATCTTCCAACCAGGCTCAGACGACCAACCCGCCAGACTTGGATACATTTCATACCGAAGGATTTTCGCTAGCCAGACAACATCATTATGCAAGCGCCGAAAAAATGTTTCTGCGAGCCGTTGAAATACGCACGCGGACCTTAGGTTCTGATCACTCTGACACCTTGCAATCTTTTTGTTACGCACAGCTTGCTTCATACGTTCAAAAGGAGTTTGAAAGAGCTGAAAGTATTTGGAGGAACACTCGGGTACTTCAGATTTCGACGCTTTGGTATGAGAAGACGCTGGACAGCCTTTATGTCTTGGGTAAGGCTTTTGTCAACAAAAAGAACCTTTTTGATGCCGAAACCATATTCCGGGATGTCTGGGAAGGTCAAAAGCAGACTTTGGGGGAGGACCACCAGAAGACGAGAGACTCCCTTCTTGCCTTGCGTGATGTTCTATCAAAGACCTAGGTTCCTTTAGCCAATCAGGGGTTCGGATGGATATAAGAAAGACTCTGGGCCTTATTACATGATGATCAGCCCTTTTTGTACTGGGCTGTTATCATACGACTAGCTATTATCGTATATGATGCAAATAATGGATGCAGACTATGAATTTCCCGGTGCTCCCGGATCTTGACATATTCTTTGTCCTCAAAGCAAAATCCTCGAAGCCGAAATTTTGTGCCGGGATGCCTGGAACTGTCGGTAGTTTTGGGGGCGAGAAGGAATGAAATGCATAAATATTTGACTTTCATGAAAGGAAACTGGTCTATCTGTAATAGTATAAACTTCTCCCCCACTCCAACTATGCAATAAAGTCTCTCTCAAGCATCTCAGAGCCGAGAATAGCGAAATATGGCTATTGGTGGAAAATTATGCAGCTAGACACTTGGTGGTATTCGTATGACCCTAGACGTGGCAGGTGCGGCTGAGGGCATCATATTTCTCTTCTCTCGCACCTCTTGATTTCACTGTTCAGACCCCACCCACCATGAGCGGCTTAGAGGTTGGTCTTGCACTGCCTGGCATTATTGATGTGTGCTTGAGGTAAGTGACAAGGGTGCCCGCTCATTACGTTGCGCTAAACTCCGACAGATGGGGGAATTTTATTGTGACGGCATATCGAGACTTTGAACAAGCCAATGAAGCGATTGAAGAGAAAAGGCTTTCTATCGATGCTTCTTGGATCAAAACATCGCAACAATTAGCCGTTCTAGGTCGCATCTGGGACACTTTGGGCGAGGAATACCGGGATCTATTGGAGCGAATGCTTCCAGTCTTCGAGAAAAGGCTCCAGAATGCTGTGAGAGAGTTGAGCAAACTTGAGAAAAAACAGCCCATCTTAGGCGGATCTGAGTTGCTAGACAAGTCAGGGAAGCTGAGAGCCGCGAACTATGCCCTGTCTAAGAAGCAGGCTCTTGAAAAAGCTGTTCAAGATCTTCAATCATGGCAACAGGAGATTGACCCATCATGGTATTTGACCCTGCAGATAGTTGATCGTGATCTGATGAAAGATCAATTGATCAAGCGCAGAGGTACAGAGAGCCTTTCCGTTGCCAGGCATGTTAGATGTGTTGCAGGTGGATACACATCCACCAGACCATGTTTTTCTCCCCGAAGACAAGATTCACTCGGCCACAGATTCTGACATTCCATACTCCACATCAAAGGTCATCAAGGTCCCAGGCTTGGGGAACTTCATTTTGGACTCCGCAGACTGCTCGTCCAGAAAAGATGCTCAGCTGTTTCGCAAAAATGTGCAAAATCTGGCTATGAAGCTTCAGCGGGTCGATGCAGACAGTTTTCACCTACTCAAGTGCCACGGCGTCGCTCATGTAAACGACCCACAGACCAAACAGCTTCGATCACTTGACTTTGTTTTTCATTTCCCCAAAGGTTGTCTTCAGCCTCGAAGCTTACGGAGTCATCTTCTTTCACGGGCAACTCATTCACTCAGTGACAGAATCGGCCTTGCCAAGCAGCTTGCCGAATCCATCACCTATATCCACGTCCTTGACTTTGTGCACAAAAATATTCGCCCCGAAACTGTCTTGATCTTTGAAAAAGGAGACACTCATCTAGGTCCATTATATCTCTTGGGATTTAGAGCATTTCGTTTAGTGGACAACAAAACTTTCCGATTGGGGAACTCAGTCTGGTCTGAAAACATCTACCAACATCCTGATCGACAAGGAAGCAACCCTAATGCGGACTACACCATGCAGCATGATATCTACAGTCTTGGGGTATGTCTGCTTGAAATTGGGCTTTGGGAATCATTCGTGAGCAAGGAAGGGCATGGGAGCCCTTTGCTGGCTGGTTTTGAACATGATCCTTCGGCATTCATTGGAGAACGGTCGATGAAGGATCATTTCACGACACTTGCGAGAGAAAAATTACCTATCAGGATGGGAGAGATGTTTACAGAGGTGGTCGTCAATTGCTTAACATGTATGGATGAGACGAACGAAGACTTTGGCAATCAGAGCGAGTTCGAGAGCTCGGATGGTATTCTGATTGGGGTCAAATACGTCAAAAAGGTAAAGTGCACACGGTGACAATAACACAGCAAGATAATGGAAAAAGCTTACATAAACCTAGGTTGTTCTCTTGCTTAATGAGATAGCAGTTTAGAAAGCAGCATATTTGAGAAATCCGGGAGACCGAGGAGAATGGTTTTTTCTATAAGATGATTATCGAATGTTGTGTGATGCGATCAGAAATAAAAACATACAACAGTGAGGATTCGCTGGTGGTCACCCACCCAACTACTAACTCACCGGCGTGTGGCTTAAGTACGGCTGAGCGGACGGGAAGCCCTGTTTTCCACACCCTGTGGTCGTATGTACTAAGGTTTGGTTCTTAAGAGAATGTATCGAACAATTATCGTGAGTCTTTCTTAAACAGCAACTCTACGGCTGAACAATGGTTGGTAGCAACTTTTAAAGAAACCTTGGAAAGTTCATGACTACATAGACTATTTAAGCAAGGTTCGCTGGCTTCCAAACATCTGTCCCAAAATTTGTTTATACCAACCTACAACATGTCCCATACCAGGCTTTTTTGTTTTTTAAAAAAAAAGGCATTTTTCCGCCAAAGGCAACTCACTTCCAAGGTTCTAAGTTTGAACAGTCTTGTTTATTCAAGTTCTTCAACTTGTAAGTCTATATTGAATTATTAGGTAGTATAAGGGATTTGAAAAAAAAAAAAAAAATTGAACTTCGCAAATAGATTAAACTGACAGTCTGAGCAGCAAGCGGTGGATTTCCGTAGTTTATATAGAAGCAAACCTTGAAGCCGCAACCACCTGTTTAAAGAATATATAACTGATAATGCAGCCTCTGCACCACCCGCGCATTCAACATAGTACCTGAGTAAGGAAGAGTTGCTCTACTGATCAAGCAATAGTTTCCATTGCATAGAAACCTTGGAAACAATAAATTATTCTGCCATGGGCAAAAAAAAAGAGAGAGAAAAAAAGGGCTCCAAAAGGGAGTCTCTGTTGAAAAACGGCAACCATTCGGAATGCCTGGATTACGAATTCCTCCAAACTTGAAGTTTTGGTGACAACAGTGAGTTCCAATTCTGTATTTTTGCATACTAAGCCCTACGTGACTGAAGATCGGTCGGGGGATCCATGCTACCTAGGTAAGTATGATGATGTCAAATCACATGACGAGAAGCAAAAAGAGGCAGAACGTGATTTGGCGGTCTGGACCCGACACGAGAAGAGACGACTTTCGACTCAGCCACCATGATGAGATCAAAGCAAAGATCCAAGTCTGGCTGTTTGACCTGTGAGTGCACTCATCTGATATCGCCTTCGCCATCTAAACCCCAAAGGCAGGAGACGAAAAAAGAAATGCGGAGAAGAACGCCCAATTTGTCATCACTGCAGCTTCAGCGGATATACATGCATTTGGCCATCGCAAAGCGACCTGGTCGATAGACGACATAGGCAGAGTACCAGTACGCAGAGTCGACGCCTAACAACATCATCTTGTGATGCAACGGTGGACTCGATCACGGCCCGTGGGAGAATAAACCACTGCGTTATCTCTCTGGCTCCACACAGAGTCACCGTCCCCGGCGTGGAATATGAGTTACTTCATCACTACTTTAACCATTTACTCTCAGTGCTATTGAGTGCTACCTGGGAGAATTGTCATCTCATGGAATACCAGGGTCAAATCATGGATCTGATTCAAAATTCCCAGAGCGTGAAATACGCGGTGCTGGCCAGCTGCGCCACAAACAAATTCATGCTCTCTTGTGAATCGCGATATCAAAGCCTGGCCCTATTGTTCTATTCAAAAGCCGTACAAGAGGTCAACAGGGCACTGGATGAACTCAGCTCAGGAGAATCGATCCCTAGCGATGCGCTCTTGGTGTCCGTAATCTACCTTTACATCCATGATGTAAGTCTAATCCGCCAAACTTCCAACTGCGCTAACATACATAAAAAGCTCTGCGGAAGAGACTTGCATGCAAATCCTGCTACGCACATCGCTGGGGCAATGGCTTTGATTAACACCAGGCTTGATCGAGATTTCGCTTCAATGTCCATCACACGGGCTATAGACCGAGTTGCCCTGGAGAGCGTGATGTACCAGGCCTTCTCGCTATCTATGAGACAGCCATTTGCCCCCACATTCTTCGGCGACGAAAGATTCATATCACGAGCGGAGAGTCTGCTTGCATCCAGGGCAGTGCCCAGCTCTAGCCCGATTTTGAATCTTCCGCTTCCACTATATCACTTGATCAGGGATATCATTGGAATATGCATCGATCCGACACGGATAAAAAGTTGTACGATGACACAAATAGCGTTGGAACTTGGAGGTTGGGAAATTTTCGCCATGAAACAAGATACTGACATGACTGCACCACGGTCAAATGGTCACCAATATGCGTGTTTCCAAAGCTTGTATGCACTCGCAGCATCTATTATATACAATTGGGTGGTTGGGAATATGCCTTTACCGCTAACCTCACAGTTTTCTCGCCTCCTCAAGCCTCCTGGAAAAGATCCACCAAGGACGAGCTCTTCACCTTGGCAGATCCACCGAGCACTGGCGATCTTAATGCAAAGAGACTTTTTCGATCTCTGGACTCAGTCATATTTAGCTACATGGCCGATGCTAATTTTCGGGCTTGCTACCGGTTCTCAACAAGACGCAAGCTATATACGCGAAACAACGATGCGTATACGTGGAAGAACAGGCTACGGGCTGACCCAGAGTCTTCTGGCCGAATTAGAACATGAGTGGCAAACAAAGTGGCACTCCTGACATTTATTCTTCATATGGTAGTATCATATCTGAGACCTATGATGGTGTCTCCTCGAGGATATCAGTTTTTCTACTGAAGCTTGAATGACTGTTTATACAAAGCCTCCTTCACGTTCTGGCGACCATCCTGCTCTCTCGGAGCGATGTTTTGAGCAACGAACTCGCTCCAAGTTTTGCGACCAAGCCGCCTTTCATCAAAATAGAAAGACCCAAGAGACTTATCAAAGGATGCAACATTTGCCTCCTGATTGTCTTCACTCCAGGTCTCACTGTGACAAACCTCTGCCATGGGAAGCCGAGGCTTGATTTCAGAATAGCTTGCCGCATTGCCGTATCCCACCGCCATACCGAAGAGACCAAACGTGTTGGGTGGGAGCTTGAGCAGCTCGCACATTTCCTCGGCATTGTTCCGAATTGCGCCAGCATAGCAGATTCCCAGACCCAACGACTCCGCTGCGATGGCTGCACTTTGGCCTGCGATCGAGGCATCGATGGAAGCCATGAGGAAAAGATCCATGTTGGCGAGAGCCTCGGCAGGCTGGTCGTGCTTTCGAGAGATATTTGCCAATCGGTTCAAGTTCGCGCAAAATACCAGGAAGAGAGGAGCTTCACGAATGAAATCCTGGTCTCCGGCAAGCTTTGCTACTTTGCTCTTGTGATCGGGATCTTGAATGGCGATTACGTCCCAGGTTTGCATCATTGAGGATGTGGAGCCGCTCTGAGCTGCAGCTAGAAGTGCCTCCAATGTGCCCGATGGCAAGGGAGTTGGCAGGAATGACCGAAAGGACCGGTGATTCAAAATGGTCTCGAGGGCTGGTGGTAGATGATCAGGGAGAGGACGCTTGCTGGACTGTCCATCTCGATATCGAGACTCAACCAACGAAGCAAAGGTTTCCTTCGTTTCAGTCATGGCAAGGGGGTGGATTGTACTTTATAGAACAGAAAGCAAGACGGAGATGAGAAGAGAGATGGTGTTACAGCTCAAGTATCAGAAACATTCTCGTGGCTTAAATACTGTACCAGTGAGTGATGTTTTCTTCTGTCAATCTCTTGATTAGAAATCCAAACTGGGACTGTAGAAATTTGTGTGCTGTGGTCGTTCCCAAGTTGACAGGGCTCGATTAGGACATGATAATTCGATGTACGGTCTGTTATTGTGTTATTGGCTCATGTTCATCCATCGGGGCCTTGCTGAATCAAATGTTGACCAATAGAAAGACCGGGGCATCGCGCAACCGTGCTGTGGCATCTTGGATTCTAAACAAAATACTTCCTCAGCGACTAATCAAGCCTCAAGCCGCTGAGATATCCACGATGTGGGGCAGTCGCGCAATTATCGGTGATTGGACACTCGCGGCGGGTGAATCATTGGGTCATTCGGTATGATCCATGGTTGAATCCGAATCAACCTTGGAAAGGCGTAGTTTATTTGTGTCAACCCCAACGGCTTCGCAGACACGCAATTGAAGTCAAGATAGAGCCTGGGATCTTTCGGCTTCGATCATGCCACTAGACATATCCTGGAGTCCATAAAATACAGCGGGATATGATGCGGGATCACGAAGTGTTACCGAAATGACACTGCAGTGAATATCCTGATAAACATTCTGATTCACAATCAGTATGAGAGAAATGTTAGTGCAGACGGATAGAGGACTGGTCGGGTTGTGGGCTAAATGTTCTAATGCCGGATGTTGTTTTCGAAACTGATCTCCCTGGGAGATGAATTAGAACTGAGTTATCCTCTGAAATGTGTTCGTAAGACCTCGAGGATATTATTCCGGGTTGGCTCAACGGTATCGATCCAAAATCAGGATCCAGACAATGAGACGTATGCATGATGCGCTACTCGAATATGGCGCAGACACACTGTTAGAAATTCGGTGAGCGTTTTATCGGTCGTGGGTTGCCACTTCTGATAGGCGATCATGCATGTTGAAGTTTTCTGCGCGAGGCAGGGGTAGTGATGACGAGCTGGGAGCTTATTTAAATAGTCAAAATGTCCCGAAAACAACCTGCCCTTCCAAGTGTTTTGTAGGCTGGTTCTATTGAAGGTGACACTGATTAACAGGCTCCAAATATTTGAATGCACATCCCTTGTTAGAGGGCGAGATCTATGGGCATTGGAAGCTTCAAGCCTCAACGTTCAATATTTGACAATTTGCTTTTTTCGACATGCCAAGGGGCCAATATTCCCCATATGCGTATGACGGGTGAAGTCAAATGTTGAAAATATTGCATTCGAAGCAAACAGTGTGATTGATCACAGGCCGCATACTGAGGTTTGCTCACCGACTGAGTCTGGAGCCCATAAGCTCACCATGAGCGAAGCCTAATACCAAGGATCGACTGCACGTCCCTGTGTATAACAGACTAGTGAACTCCATGCTCTCCTTAGCGGCGTTGAGCAGCCGATGATTGGCGCCCTGATGAAGATCATTGCGATCGTCGCTGCACTACCGCGGTGGGTGGAGACGATCAAGACAGAGGAAAAACGCCATCTTGTCTTGTTTACAACGGGATGCATCATATAAAGCACGGTTTCTCCCATGATTTCGAGCCATTCGAGCGCAGCCATGGCAGGACCCCGGCAGATCGTTTTGTGCTTTGATGGCACAGAGAATACATTCACCACAAATGGACCCGAGACCAATGTCTTGAAGATATGTCGCATGCTTGAACGAACTGATGAGCAATGTAAGTCTTCTGGATCCAAGTCGGGAACAATGACTGACCGACCACGCTTAGTATGCTACTACCAACGTATGAGATTCCACCTCGCAGAGGCGGTCGAATACTAACTGGACAGCTGGTACTGGAACCGAAATCACCCCAGGATCTCTCGCCAGTGCAACATTGCGAAAGCACGGCAACCTCAACAATAGCAAGGCACTCAATCTAGCTCTTGGCAAATCATTCGATCGCCATGTCATCGGTGGATATCGCTTCCTGATGCGGCACTATCGTGAGGGAACCCGAATTTACATTTTCGGGTTCTCACGAGGCGCCTACGCAGCACGTTTCTTGAATGAGATGATCGACTTCGTTGGCCTCCTGGGTCCTGATAATGAAGAGGTGCTCCCAATCATTTGGGATGCCTTTGCGTCGTGGAAGCTTGGCCGGACGAACAACAAGCAGCAAGCCAAGAGAAGGGCGTATACTCTTATGAAGTGTAGTCGGGAGACCCTTGCTCGTCCAGCTCCTCGGGTGCACTTCTTGGGAATGTTCGATGCGATCAACAATGTTGCCGACTTTGACCTGAACATGGATGAAGCGCCTTCGACAAAGACCATTCGACACGCGGTGAGCATCGATGAGCGCCGAATCAAGTACCGACCAGTTCTGCTCGGCATTCGAGAGGAACAACCACCACCGCCTCCCAAGTCCATTCGACAAAGTTCCGAGCGCACCTCTCAGGACAGTGAAGCTGATTCCACAGCTGGACCCCCTGTTCTGCCCGAGATTCCCCATGTGAGTGGCCACAACCGCAGCCACGATGTCCGAATGGTCGAAGACCAGCGAGACATTGAGGAATTGTGGTTCCCTGGCGGACATATGGATATTGGTGGTGGCTGGGGTCTCGAAGCCGGTGAAGCATGGCCCTTGAGTCATGCTCCACTGGTCTGGATGGTTGGAGAAGCTCGCAATGCCGGGCTTCGACTCGACCCGTGGAAAATGAAGCACCTGGCGTGCATTCCAGAATGTAGTGAAGATGATACCTCGATTGAGCAGGCCGAAAAAGGCCAGGAGAGGTCGAGCTACATGTCCAGCTCTCAAAAGGACTTTATGAACGCGCTTCAGATCGGCGGCATGAAAGGGCGGATCCATGACCTGCTCGCTTGTGGTCAAGGGGTTTCAATCAGCTCTGTTCTCTCTTGGCGATTCATGGAGTGGCTGCCGCTGCGGAGAATGCAGTTGCAGTCCGACGGGAAGTGGAAGGCTGTGCGCTGGCCGCCGCCTCTTGGTCAATCCCGAGATATTCCAACCGACGCACAAGTCCACATCTCTGCCATTCAGCGAATGCGGTGCGATGCGTCGTACAGACCCTCTAATTTGACACATGGATTGCCGGAGGGAGACTCCGGGATCGGAAAATGGGGAGTCTACTCGCATGAAGGGGACCCAGTGCGAGAGAGATATGTGCGAGAGGATTTGCGACTGCTCTAAAAGTGATGATCTGGCGACTGTTTCTGTTTCGGAGTTGTGACATAAATACGTCGACTTAATCAATAATGTATAGCTCCACTAAAGCGAAGACCGCAATTTCATATATACAGACTATCACATCACCCCTTCCTAGACTTCCATGTTGAGAACGCCGTCATAATTGCATTGGATAGTGATGCCCTCCTTGGGGTCCTTCACGCACTTCCATGGGAAAGTCTTTGAGCTGAGCTTTGCCTGCCCCTTCTCGGCAATTGGACCAGATACTCTCTCCAACTCGAGTGTGAAAAGGTTGTAGTCCACCGGGCCATCGGGGAACCGGATGTAGTACTGGTTGTTGTTGCAGCGTGCGCGTTGCTCAGGAGAGTTTCCGTAGGTCCTAGAAGTCGTCAGTATGTGTTTGCTAAATCTTGCATGATAGAATCAAGACCTACCAGAGAAGATTGCATTCGGTGGGTGTGTCGTCAGGGTAGTTGGCGTCGGTTACGACAAAGTGCATGCTAGCTGAGTTGATGATGCTGTTCGAGGCGCGGAAGTCACTGATCTGAAGAGTGTTGCTTCGCTGAACATTGGCAGGGGCGGCAAGGGCCGAGGCAGCCAACAGAACGGAGGCAATGGTGAACTTCATTTTTGCTGATCGAAGGTTTTAGTTGATGGATGAAAGTTTGGCCTGGATGATGAGGATGATGGTTCTCGAGTCTATCGAGAACAGGCTCTTCTTATAGACCTGGTTGACCTTGGAGTTCTAAAATTGGCCGATGAGGCCTCCAACCTGGTTGAGACATCGCAGCTGAATTGAAGCTGTCCAAAGGTGCGGATGGTCAAATTGCAGACGATCCACTCAATGAATAGACTGACAAGAAGCGTCACATTGCGGTTGGTTTTGGTGCATAGGCTCTGAAAATAGAATCAGGCCTTCTGCTCAAGAGATATAGCGTCCTGTTTCTCGGTCAACGCACTCCGTTTCACGGAGTAGACCATAGTCGATCAGGCCCCCAAGGGTCTTGGCGATGTTGATCATTTCTCTATACAGTCTTCGGTCCCTGGCCCACAGAAAGACCTTCTTATTTGGTGATCCCCCAACTGTTGTCCTTTTCTTTAACACATCGAGGTTTTCCGTAGATTTCAATTAACACAAAGATGAATGCCCTCAAAACATCAAAACATCAAACCCAATCTATATCGACCAGGTCTCGAAAATTTGCCGGAGCAACGACTGTCTCATGACTCTCGGAGGCCGGACGCCAACAAAAATCTAGGCTGGGCGTCCAATTTCAGTCCAGGTTCATGGTGAAAATTCAAAGATGCTACGCCACAGACTGGCCACAGCAGAATGTTCGAAATGCCGGCCAGTTTCAATTGCCGCAGGAACCGCCCGTTAACCTTCGCGTAGAACTTCACAAATGCCGAGAAGTCTAAGCAGAATCTTCGTTCGTTTGACCCGGACCAGCACAAGTATGGCCAGCGCCGAAGATCTTGGCCTCTCCAAGTTAACATAGCTGCTTGGCATCTTGCTTGGCTTCGTCCTAGCCGAAGACTGCCAAGCATTCAAGGTCATACCACAGATGGTTTCATCGGGACAAACAGTACGGCAAACTCATACTGTAGGAAGAGCATGCATTTTGCAAGCGCGTTGAAATTCATTAAGTTCATAGACCCTCAGTATCAACATCGGGAACCATATGTCCGCTTTGAACTTTGGTTCTTCGGAGACATCGATAATAGACCAGAACTACGGAGTAGAATTGATCTAATAGCGTGCAATTTATTCGCGCAATTTCCGACGCAACACAACGGCTAGCTTTGCCGAAAGTCTCGGAGATTCCAATGATAGTTCACTGGCCACAGTTAGAATAAGCGACTTGGAATTGGGCACCGTGGCGAATCTGATAAGAGTCGGAACTTCCAAGGTTCGAATGTAGTCGGATCATCCCGCTGGCTTCTTGATTGAGCCATGGCCGATGGGGCGAAACCTACCTATACCTGGGCATCCGCTAAGAGTACCGGGCTTAATGATTGGTCTGATTGATCGAAATGGGTGCAGGTAAGATTATCAGATGATCTGATAGGAGGGCGAATGCGCTCTGGACTTGCAGGATATGCGACTTGACTTTTTTTCCTTTTTGGTTTATAAAACCCGGTCGATATCCCACCTTGGTCTGTGGTCTCAATCCCTCGAAGCCATTGTCAATATCATTTCAATCTGCCTGTTAGGCGTTGATACAATGGAGAAGCTCACGGTTTCCGACCAAATCACTACCGCCGAGATCGGTGATCCTGAGAAGGCGGGTGCCCACCGGGTCGTTGAGCATGACCAGGCCAGCATATCCGATAAAGATTCGGCCGAATTCCAAGGGGGTGTTCAGCGTGTTCGAGCCGTCACCTCAGCATGGTCTAAAAAGACTCTCGTGCTGATGTTTGTCCTGTGAGTTCTCTGAATCCTGCCCAGTCGGCCGCCCTAATGGAACAGGTTATACTTGGTGTCTTTCGTAGACGCTCTTCTGGTCTCGGTGCAAGGATCGCTTAATCCTTACATCACTTCAGCGTTCGGAAAGCATGGTCTGCTCACCGTTGTGAGCGTGGTCTCCACCATCCTCGGCGGCTCCTCAAAGCTCACCCTGGCGAAGGTCATTGACATCTGGGGGCGTGTGGAGGGTTTCCTGTTCATGTTGTTGATCATGGTCATCGGCCTGATCATGAAGGCAACCTGTAACGGTATTGAGATGTACACAGCGGCCCACACCCTATACTGGGTTGGTCATATTGGACTGGGCTATGTCATTGAGATCATGTTGGCGGATATGACCTCGCTGAAGAACCGTATGATCATCATCGGAATCAACGGCACACCCGGCATCTGCAGCACATTCGCTGGTCCCAAGATTGCTGGCTTGTTCGAATCGAACCTGAACTTCCGCTGGGCATTCGGAGCATTTGCCATCATGCTGGTCGGGGTTTCTATTCCAGTCTGCACAGTGATGCTCTTCATGGAGCGGAGAGCAAAGAAGAACGGAAACCTCACAAAGGAGAGATCGGACAGATCGTGGTGGCAGACCATTGTCCACTACTTTATCGAATTTGACGGTGCGTGCTCATTTTCCAAGACTGGAACTACTGGGTACTAACTTGTATTAGTTATTGGAATCATCCTCGTCACAGCAGCATTTGCTTTGATCTTGATTCCTTTCAATATCGCCTCGTACGCACCGAAAGGATGGGCATCTGGGTATATCATCGCGATGGAAGTGCTGGGAGTGTTCTGCGTACCAGCCTTTTATGTCTGGGAACGATACTACTCTCCTGTTCAGTTCCTCCCTTGGAAATACCTCAAGGAACCGACCATCATCGGTTCTTGCATGCTATACGCCGTCATGTTCCTGTCTGTCTTGTAAGTTTCCAAAAATCATTCTGGGAGATCTAGCTAACACGATTCAGCTGCTGGAACAGCTACTTCGGTTCGTATTTGCAGGTCGTGCACCGCCTTGACATCGTCACGGCCAACTATGTCCTCAACACCCTGTCCCTTACCTCTTTCATCTTCAGTCCGATTTTCGGCGTGTGAGTCTCCCTTTAGCTCAGCGATGACTGTAACTAACAGATCCAGCCTGATTCGCATCACCGGTGAATACAAATGGACCGCCATATCCGGGATCCCAATCCTTCTCCTTGGCACTGCCCTCCTGGTCCCCTTCCGCCAACCAGCAACCCACGTTGGGATTCTCACCATGACGCAAATCCTGACAGGACTCGGTACTTGCATCTTCAGTGTCTGTGCACAGTTGGCAGTCATGACCATGGTGACTCACCAAGAAGTCGCCGTTGTAATGGCGATCTATGGGCTATTTGGCTCGATCGGTGCAGCCGTGGGCCAGGCCATCGCGGGTGGTATGTGGAACAACATGACCAAGAATGAGATGTATGCACGACTTCCAGAAGAGAGCAAGCACCTTGCGGGGGTCATTTTCGGCGACATGGTGAAACAGATGAGTTATGCGGATGGAACCCCGGAGAGGGCCGCGATTGTGGGTGCTTACGCGGATGTGCAGCGGAAGATGGTCATCGTCGGCGTTTGCTTTGTCCCGCTGTGTATTGCTTGCACCTGGTTCTGGAGGTCGGTCAACGTGAAGAAGCTTTTTAAGGAGCAGACGGCGGGTAATGTGTGGTAGGTGACCTGCAAGGATACCTAAGGGGATATCAGATTGCGCCAGACGACGAGGCTTCTGTTCTTCGTGCTGAAAGTCCTCGACAAGTTGAAAAGAAGTTCGGTCTAGATTGTTCTCTCGATGTTGGCATTGTTTTGATGCGCTGAGTCCTCCAGCGTGGGTATATGTACATAGTGTATAATCAAAAATGAACGCGCTTGAAGGAGTCAAAGATTTGGTAGGCTTTGGAACAAATATCAGGTGTGACCCATCGATTCTTCTTGGAAGGTCTCGGGGAAGAAACCCGGAGGAGGCCAGATATCAGCAATGGAAGGGGGGTGCACGAGAGGCTGCGACCTTCCCAGACGATCAGGATCGTGGCAAAAGGCCTGGAAGGTGGATTCATCCATGAAGCCAAAGTCCTTCAGGCCGGCCTCGCGGTTGGTGGCCCATTCCGTTGTATCAAGGTATGCGAGGTCTTTGAAAATGGCATCGATGTCCCCGATGTTAGAGGTGCCTGTCATTGAGGAGGTTGAGTCGGGGGTTTGAGGTTGGTGTGATTGTTGGTGATGGAGAAGTGATTGGCCGGAATAATGAGCTTGATCCGGATCGCTGCGAGGAATCTTATCAAGAGGTGATTCAACTGGTAGATCCATCATGAGGTCTGTGTTCTCCATGATGGTGTCTCTTGGTGTGAGGGATTGACCATCAACTGGCATGCTGATGCCAAGAATGGAAGAGGTGTATTCATCATTCGGGCGAGTTGGAGGTTGCACGGGAAGTGCATGCGTGTTGGCCGGGAACGATGGCGCTTCTTTGGATTGCCAGCGTTCCATGATAGAAGGCCAGATTGAAGTGAGGCCGGCCGTCTTATGGCTGAACTCGTCCGCCCAGCGGGCAAAGGGAAACGTGGCAGGTTCAAAGCTTTGCAGGGCATGCGCCTGCTCTGAGATCGTCCGTAGACTCAATTCAAAGAGTGGTGGAAGACCACACATAGGGAAGTTCTCCAGCCGCTGGGCCAACATTGTCAGACCTCGATAGAGAAGCTTCTTAGCACCTTCTGTTGCGGGTCTCTGAGACCTATCCAGTCCCTGTTCTTCGGGGATTAGTTGGAGGTACAACCACAGCAGCGTGGCCACGTATGTCAACCCCAAGTAGCTTTGATGGGGGAGCAAGGCAGAATGGCGCTCGGGATAGATGCTCTCGGGTCCAATGAGACGGCACCCTAGAGGCAAGCAGTCATCCCATTGCTTGAGATCCATGACCAACTGTTGTGCAAATGTGGCCATATTGTAACCAGATGAGATGTGGCGAGAGATTTTGTTCAAAACACTGGCCAACTCGACTAAGCGGTTGAAGCAGCTCAGCGCCATGAGTGGCCCACGGCGCGGCGAGTTCTTGCTACTCTGTGAGGCTGCCGTAGGTGGCAACACATCCACCCAAGAGTTCCATTCCTCCAATCCATCTTCTTCCAACAGGCCTACCGTAGCAATATCGTTGGGCGGTATGGCTGGACTGCGCCCAAGATTAAATGAAAGTAGTGAGTCCACGACAAAGCAGCCTAGGAAGACTGCTTTTCCCTGTCGAATCTCATCCGAGCGCCGGGAGTTGGAGTTGGAGTATGTGCCTAGTCCCATAGAGATGGCCATCCGCACCGCCTGGCCGCTCAACAACCAGGCAGCCGTCCAGTCCTGTAGGCCCGTGTTGACAAAGGTCAGCAAAATCAATGCCTGGATGTGGCCCAACTCATAGCGCTCTTTCTCTGCGGGAATGAGATTCCGTGAGATGGCGTAATACTCCTTGGCCAAATTGACAGCCCCGGGACCGGCCGGTTGATTCAATCGAGGTTGAGTGACTGTGTAACTGAGGATTGCCCACAGCGCTGCATGGTCTCCCGATCCGGGGGACGCCGCGGTCACGGCCAAGGGGGCGTTTGCATACAGGTAAGAGGCGCGTAGGATGTTGTGTTTCGCAATGATCGGGAACCACGAATGTGTGACTGCAAAATAGACATCAAGCAACTGAGATGTCTGTGGAGGCAGTTGGAGATTGTGTCTATCGGTCCCGCGCTCCTCCACACGCGCCCTCTTCGCCGAAGAAGTCGGCTCCACCACGCGCGGTGCGTCGGGACCGAGTGGCGTGGCTGTGCGCGAGACTCTCACGGGGAAGTCCAGAGGACGCGCCCGTTTCCCTGTTGCTGGCGCATCCGAATTGGAGAGCATTTTCTCCAACGCGCCATATAGCCGACTCGTTTTCCACGACTCGTGTAGACTCTCGGCGGCACTGTCATCCGACCACGCGGACATGAGACTCTCCCGTCGGCCGGCCGATTCCGCCGTACTGCCTAGCATCGCTAGCATTGTATCCTCGAATCCCTCGATGTTGCATATTGATATCGCCCAGAGCTTTTCCAGGCCGCGGACATATCCTTCAGGCAGACCGCGTTTCTTCGCGTGGGGATCGTATGAGCAGGATTGACCGGAGGCTTGACAGGCGGAACAGGTTGGACGAATCCCATCGCATTTATCCTGGTGTTGTTAGACGGAGTCCACTGGGGTAGTTGTGAAGGGATTACCTTTTTGCTGCGACAGCGATCGCAGGCCCGAGAGACCCTCTTGCGAGGCGCTTTATCCGGGGCCTCCATGGCGATTCAAGCCATGTAATAGAGACACAAAAAAGTGCAAATGTAAAGCGGAATTAAGATCGAAGCCGCAGGGCCGAGGATGTGCAGCTCGGGAGGAAAGTCGACGTCTCCCCACGTCCCACGTCCCCACGATCTTAGTCCCTGACTCTTCCTACGCCAACGCCTACACTGAGACTTTGATTTCTCTAAGAATAGGCTCTGCGCAATTTCACAATAGCAGTTATTCTACTGTGTCAATTTCACTTCCAGTAAGGCCAGAATATATTTCTCCCATATGCCGGGCTTCGTTTCCGCTTCGGTCTGTTCGCTGCTCAACTGCCGACTGCATCGGGAGAGTAGTCACCACTTGGTATACCCTGTCTATGTCATTGAGAGCTTCACAGCCGAGCATCGTACTCTAGTCACCCGATATAGAGAGAGCTAGGCCGACTCAATTACCCCATAAACTCCGAGCTCCAAACGAAGATCTACCGGCATCCCGAGCCCCGACAGCCGCCAAGTGGAGATATGTCTGCTCTCGAGATAGACGTATTGGAATGAAACTCGATACCTAGGTATACTATGAGTAGGATAGTAGTAGCAAAGAGACCTAAACCCAAGACTTGAGAAATTAGAGAAACAGCCCCGGAGAGAAGCAGAACAGCAGTAGAAGTAGACCGGCAAAGCCTTCATCCGAGCGGTCGGCAGTTCGTCTGGGGAAATTATACTGCCACTCCATCTTGTCTCGACACACTCACGACACTCACTACACGATGAAATGAAACCAATTGTCTCCGATATGCTCAACAAAGTCCAGAGCCCGGAGCCCAGCACCAATGGCTCCAAGCCGGCCCCACGAACTTTCCCCCCCGATGCGTCCATCGTGCTGGTCGGCATCCGCGGCTGCGGCAAACGCTCGCTGGGCTTTGTTGCGGCAACAGCGCTCAAGCGTCGCTTTATCACCGAGGACCACTACTTCAGAGAAGTCACCAGTCTCACGCGACAAGAATACCTCAAGCAACATGGCAGCCAAGAGTTCCAGCGGCGGGATATCGAAGTCCTGAAAATGATGCTGGACAACCACCGCACCGGCTGCGTCATGGAATGCGGACTGGGAAGTATGACGCGCCCAGTACAAGAGCACTTGCGCCGCTATGCGCGTGCCAATCCGGTCATCCATTTAGTACGGGATATGGGTCGAATTCAGCAATTGCTCGGCTTAGAGGACCAGGCCATGCGGCTGTTTAAAGAGGGAGATCCCCTGCATCGGATGTGCTCGAATTTCGAGTTCTATAACGTGGAAGACCGGACTCGGGCATCGGATGACGGGAGTCCGGATCGTCGGTCGGCGGATTATTCGTTCAAGCTGCAGGAAGTGAAGGAAGACTTCACGCGATTCGTGCAATTCATTACCGGGCTGGACGTGAACTATTCCAGTTATGACTCGCCATTCGTGCTCCTGGAGACGCCCCCGGAGCTCAGATCTTTCACGCATGCGATCTTCGTGCGGTCGACGGATCTGATCGCGGATAATGTGAAACTGACCGAGCTGGAGTCCGGCGGTGATGCCATTGAGCTGTGTGTGGATCGCTGGAGTACAGAGATACCTGCAACGATCAGCAAGCAAGTCTCTGTGCTTCGGCGAAATGCACGAGCTCCAATTATCCTCTCCATCGACACATCTGCCACCGGGGTTGGGGCAACAGCGCCTTATTTTAACATACTGGAACATGGTCTGCGCCTAGGAGTGGAATATCTTGCGGTGGACCTCACACAAGATCGAACTCAACTCGCGAGCATTGTCAGAGGGCGCGGGAATACAAAGATCATAGGCCAGCAGGTCTTCTCGCCCACCTCTTCAGTCTGGGGTCCAGATAGCGTGACGATCTACCACGACGCCGAAACACTCGGCTGCCAGCTCGTGCGCCTGCTTCGCGTGGCCACAGCTCGCGAAGACAACTCTGCGGTCATCGAATTTTCCAATAAGATTCGGGCTCTTCCCGGCAACCACCCACCGCTCATAGCCTACAACATTGGCGCATTGGGACGCACCTCCCAGGTCTTCAATTCCACCCTCACCTCCGTCAGCCACCCGGCCATCTCAGGCTCGAAACACGAACACGATCCCACCATCACGTCCCACGATGCCGTGCGCGCACTCTTCCAAAGCTACATCCTCGACCCTCTTAAATTCTACATCTCCGGCGAAAGCGTCGCCTACAGTCTGTCCCCCGCCATGCACAACGCCGCCTACCAGCACTGCGGCATGGGCCACACCTACAGTATCCCGCCGGCTCCCTCCCTCGCCGTCCTCGACCAAATAGGCCGAGACCCCCACTTCGGCGGCTCCAGTGTCGTCCAGCCCTGGCGTGTCGCAGTGTATCAAAAGCTCGCCTCGAAAAGCCGCCACGCAGAAGCCATCGGCGCCATCAACACCATCATGCCCCTCCGCGGCAACGACGGAACCATCTTCCCCCTCACCGAGCAAGCTAGCCGTCGTAACCAGGCCGGTCGCGTCCTGGGCTGGTACGGTGAGAACACAGACTGGGTCGGTATCATGACCTGCATCACCCGGCACCTGTCCCCGCGCAATGCCATCAGTGCCCGCACCACGGCCCTCGTCATCGGTGCGGGTGGTATGGCTCGCGCAGCTATCTACGCCATGCTGCGGCTGGGGTGTCGGAAGATCTTTATCTACAATCGTACGCGGACGCGGGCCGAAGAGGTCGCGCGTCACTTCAACAGTTGGGCTGCTGAAGATGGTGATGTGGTTCGCGTGCTTGATTCGCTGAAGCAGGACTGGCCGGACGATGTCCAGCCCAGTCTGGTGGCGAGCTGTGTGCCTGCGGATCCGGATCGAGATGAGCCACCGGCTAATTTTGAAATGCCTGACCAGTGGCTGGGGAGTACGACAGGTGGTGTTATTCTCGAGGTAAGTGAGATTCGGACAAAACACACGTGCATGAGCTGACAATGAGCAGTTAGCGTATAAACCGCTTGACACGCCGCTGCTTCGCCAGATGCGCCGTCTGCGTAGTGAGACCGGTCGTCCATGGGTGTTGTCTGATGGGCTGGAGAATGTCACTGAACAGGGCATTGCCCAATTTGAATTGATGACTGGGCGCAAGGCGCCGAGGCGACTGATGACTTATGAGGTTCTTCGGAACTACGTTGGAGATAGTGGCCGGTTTGACGAGAAGACTATCCAGGCACGGCTGGATGGAGTTGAGGTTGAAGTCGAGACATGAATGCGATATATACCAGTGATACCACGAGCTTTTAGCGATATACGCGATATTTGAACCATGTTCAGGATACATCTGGGTAGTCTCAACTTCACCATTTGTAGTGCGTATCCATGGATATGTCGCAGTGCCTAAACACCACGAGCTGAAGGTCAGCATCGAGTGATGCAGTATGACGCTGCGCCCTGATAGGTCATGTCGATCAAGGTCTCAGAGCCAGGGCTCCAGTGCATTTCACATGTCACATCCCTTTTACTCTGCTTCAAGGCTCTCTTGGACCATTGAAGCCCAGAATATTCCCGAGCCTAAGCTAATGTATGTCGACTTAACATGCCAAGCCGTTGATCTGCTAAATGGACCATGAAGCCCGCCTCGAACCCGACCTCGACGAGACTCGTGCAGAGATGTGTGATAACGTTCGAGGAGTGTTTGGCCTGTGCGGACATGAAGCAACGGTCTATATTGCGAGATGCCCTCCAGCCATCCAGAACGGAATGACTTGTCCACCGCACCAACGCGAAGACGTTCACGACTGGCAAGAAGATACCGATGACGAAGAATGTCCTGCCTGCAAGGGGGCAACACCGCCAGAGTCGCCATGAACTCAAGGGACCACGGACCAATCATTCTCTTTGTTCTCACTCCTCATATCGTCTATCATCTGCTGTTCTTGTCGGCCACCCCACGCATACGAAGCAGCCCGTGCCTTGGCCTTTTCCACCCAATGCTCGCGGGGAATAAACGCCCTAGCCAGTCAGAAAGTAGTTAATAGGAACACAGTCGTGCCTCACAATTTGCCATTCCGTTGACTCGCCAGATATACTTGGTGGGGGATTTGGGACACCGCATCCCGACTCAGTCTTTGAGTGACATTGGCATCCAGAATGAACCACCGCTTGAGGGGTTTCTCGGAGTCAAAGTCGGCGGGAATGTGGACATGATCGTAGCCTGCGGGGTGGAGTTCCGATCTGAAGGGACGACCTAGCATCGTACACACTTCCTCTCCGAGTTGGAGATGGCGTCTTTGGGGACAACCGTGAATGTCGGTCACGCAGACGTAGACAATGATTCGAGAGGAATCCATATTTAGACTCAGTCGAGGAAGCGTAGCAAAGAAGAACAAACAAAGGGACGCGGAGTATAAAATCACCGATAAGCCTATCAGCCCACCGCCCGAGGCAACGTCTGTTTTCTCCTTCACCTCACCTGGGCACTCCCCGTGTCATCACATACGCATACGGTCCAAAATGCCAGGACTCTCTCCTGATCCTATATGGAAGAAACGTAAGAGGGAAGATGAAGTTTCCCTCGCTCGTCCGTAAGTGACATCCCCCTCTCAATCGCTTCTCCAACTAACCTCCTCAGAACCTATATACCCTCCTTTCGAGTAGAGGAATATGACTGTCCACACCCTCTGCAAGACTCGAATCTTCGACCGCGTTGCGCGCCTCGAAAACGCAGACACATTGGACCCTACCTCCTCCCACAGCAAATCCAACAACCCCAACAACCATCCCACCTCTCGCCCAATTTCTACACAACAGACCCTTATTCGCCTCCTATCTCTCCCAAAACCCTCGTTCCTCTGCATTACCCACAATCGGCATCTCCATCGGCCCTTCGTCCCTGCCACATCTGCCATCGACGGCCCACCACCCGACAAGTGCTCGATGCTTACGCAGATTGTGATCTGTGTCACGAGCGGGCATGTTTCATTTGTCTCCGACAATGCGACAGCCCCAGCTGCCAGAACCTGGCAGGCTCAAATCACAACCACGCTGATGTGGACGCAGCCGAAAACTCTAAGCGGAAGATCTGCTCCTCCTGTGCCGTCGAAGACATAACCCAGACTGGAGCGGAAATTGTCCGCTGTTTGGATTGTGTACGTGAATGGGATTCACAATGGGCTCTTGATGACATGCATCAAGATTGAGACTTGAAGATTACTTTTGGACAGGGGAGTATGAGTATGGATCTGGATACGGATATGGTTATATTATTTTTCTTTCAGGACTCGAACAGGAGTGGGCCTTTTTTTGTACGACATATTGCATCTTGATACCAACGAACACCTAATGAACTACATACCATCACATTTTCTACCTTCCGAATCGCATCTGCGCACCCGCGAAATGCCACAGCCCACGCATGTACCCCTGGTACTCTACGGCTTCCCCGTCCCCGTTCACGCCGTGGGATCGACTCCCCGTGCAATACATTTCCGTGAGTCGGATTTGCCATGGCGGGTACCCATCCAGCTTGAGGTAGGGGCTGAACACCAGCAGCAGGTCTGGCTCCGGCTTGAGGATGGTGTCAGTGCCTGCGGTGAGGGGCTGGGTGGTGATGTCGCTGATTTCAGCGTCGACCAGCTCTGGTGTGATATCTTCTGGGGAGAGCTTGCCGTTCTGGCTCATTTCTGCCAGGGTTTTGGTCAAATCGACGATGGTTTCCCGGCCATCAGTCGATGAGAGGAGGAGGACAGTCAAGGTGCTCTTGCCAGGGTTTGTGGTTGAGCCTTCGACGGGGTGGTGGGGGGCGTAGAGGTGCAAGTTTGGCTGTTGGTCTGGTGAACCGTAGTAACTTGCCAGCTTGGTTGTGATGATCTGGTGGAGGGCGGGAATGCATGACTTCAAAACACCTGCAATTGTTAGTTACACATCGTACCATGAGACAGAAAAAAGAAAAGAAAAAAGCCCCTCCCGAGGTACGACACTCACCTGTTTTCTCGTAGATGCTCAACTGCGGGATACCCGCACACGAGCTCCACGCTGCCAGCTCAGCCACCTCATCCATCAGCACTGCCAAGGCATCGTCTTCCTTGCGCAGAGTCAAGATTGTGCTCAGATGCTGTGGCAGACGCTTCAATCCTCTGACATCCTTGCGAATGAGTTCCGGCGTGCGGTGGTGGTGATAGACGATTGCGAAGACTCGATCCACCACTGCATGGTAGGCTTGCAGGAGTCGAACGATGATTCCAAAAATAATATGCGTCAAGGCGTAGGCGAAGTGGTGGAGTTGGGATCGGAAAAACGAGCGGATGGGGGTTTTGTGAAGTCTGCGGCGTTCGGGTCGCGAGAGATCTTCGGGGAGGTAGCTCTTCAGCAGAGACTCTCGGTCTGCGGTGGACAATTTGGAGCGGGCACGCAAGTCCCCGCGCAGAATATCGCGATCTCGTTGGGAGACCATTTTGTTGAAGGAGTTGGTGAGGGGAAGGGAGTACGGGAGTCGGAAGAGTCGTTGCGCAAGGCTATAAATATTTCATGACTGTCACTCCAGAGAATGTATTTGCCTGTTTCCAGGCTGTGTACGTGTTCATTGCCTGGTAATGTGAGGATATATATAGATATTAATATGCACACAAAAGACTGAAACATGTAAATACCTAGTCGAGTATGAGAGGAATATATCAATGACGTTGTGTCGACAAGTAAACACCTGGACAGTTACTAACATTCATCTTCCTCCCGCCAACGCCCCCGGATGTAGTTCACCACATCACCCACCATGATGGACAATGCTTCCATTAATCCCCGCACGGTGTTCCCGCAGGGGCCCAGCTTTACCTTGGAAGACTTCTCCAGTCAAGACTTCATTGTGAAGGAGTTCATCGAGGCCCTCTCCGACACTGCCACCTCCACACGCCGCTCCATAGCCAACACCAGCAACCAGACATTCGACCCCAAGCCCCTCATCCGCACCTTTGAAAGCGCCCAACGCCGTCTGAGCGAACTCTCCGGCGACCTCGAGCTCCGCGAAAATGAATTGTCCGCCGCAGTCCGCCGCGCGGAAGCGCAACACAGCCAGAACCTCACCACCCTTGGGCAGAAACTCCGACACACCATCGAGTCGTTCCAGCAGCTGGACACATCCTTGAACGGGCGCGATACAGGGGGAACGGGAAATATGGCCGTGGAAACGGGAAGGAGACTGGAGGAGCTGGACCGGCAGCGTCGACGAGCGCTGGATGCGCATTTCCTCATTCAATGCTGGGATGGGGTCTCGAACCGCGGTGATCTGTCGTTACTGGAGGGGCTCCGGAGGTCGGGAACGGGCGAGGCCAAGGTGCGCTCGGCGCACATTGCGCGACAGCTTCTACGCATCAGTCAGCGATTGGATGCGCAGAGCTGGCAGGAGCATGCGTCTAATGGATACGGGAGCTCGTCGGAGGATCTGAGCGAGAGTCATACCCCGCGGCAAAACACGAGGGAGATCATTGAGAAGTTTTCGGAGACCCTGGAGAAGGACTTGTTGAAGCAGTTTGACGACTTCTATCGCAAGGCCAACTTCGACGGAATGAGGGATTGCGCGACGGTACTACAAGATTTCAATGGCGGAGCGAGTGTGATCGCTCTCTTTGTGAACCAGCACCAGTTCTTCATTGATCGCAGCCAGTTGGTCACAGAGGAAGTAGGCGGAGATCCCGAGTCGTGGGAGAAGCTCGCCGATCCGGACGCCGAGCTGCCAGGGGTCGAGTCCAGTCTGCAGTCCTTGGTGGATGAAGTGAAGGTGGTTGTGCAGGAGGAGTCTGCGATCATCCGCCGGGCCTTCCCTTACTACGAGCAGGTGTTGGGCAAGTTCTTGCAGCGAGTCTTCCAGCAATCGATTCAGCAACGACTGGAGATGGTCCTGGAGAAGGCCTCTGGTGCATCGTCTTTGGCCTTCCTCCGTTGTCTACAGAGCTCTAGGGGCTACATCAGTGCCTTGATTGAGGATCTCAAGCAGCATGGATTGACCGAGCACCCTGACCCTGTTTCATCTCACACAGCCGTGCTGCTCGACCAGCAACTGGAGGAGCTGTTTGTACCTTACTTCGTCGGATCGTCATACATTGAGCGTGAGAAGCGGACTTTGGAAGAACTCTTCCAAGCAGTCCTATTCCGCTTCACGTCCTACCACGCCCGCCGCAAGAAGGCCGCAACGACGTTCATGGCCTCCATTCGGGCTGGATCTGAACTTCTCTCTACCACCCGAGATGCATTCATCAATCGTCTCGATTCGCCAGAAGTCTCCCCGATCCAGCGTAGAGTCCTGCTCAGTGTGGCAAAGATCGGCGATACACTTGAGACCACGCGCCTGACGGAGATCAAACTTTCAGAAGAAAATGGGCAGCCAAACCTGAGCGATGCCAAACGAATGCTCAAATGGCTCGCTGAGGCTGTGGGCCGTGGACTCGAACTCAGTGTGAACAGTGATACCCCCAAAGATGTTTCCGCTATGCTGAACTTGCTGCTCGTCACGATGGGAGATGGGTATGTGGATGTCTGTCTGGATGCCGCTCTGGAAGCGGCTACTTCTCAAGAGTCCGGGAAAGCGGAGCCCGACTTCTCATATCTCCTCTCGGTACGGACTACGATCAGTATTACCACGTTGATGGTGATGTGCGTGCACGCCGTGCTTCTCCCCTTGTCCGCTGGCAGCATTACCACGCGCCGCGATATGGAAAAACGCACGACGCAAACGACCTCACGCATCGAAGATAAAATCAACACCATCGAGCAGAAGACCATCGACGCAACACTAACCTGGGTCACTAAACTGCTCTCCGGACAAAAGAAGAACGATTTCAGACCTCGCGAAAGTGACAGCACCGCCTGGCTTGAGATGCTGCAAACACCGGTTCGTTCTCAAATTTTTAAATCTGGCATGACACTAACCAGCCCACAGACCTGCACATCCATAACAACTTTCCTGACCCGTTTGCACAACATCGCACGTACGTCACTCCCGTCCAGCGGGGTTAACATCCGCCAAGTTCTGACGGAAATTGCACTCGGCACACGCCGCTTGCTGCTCGAGCATTTCAAGCGCTTTGCTGTCAGCGGTCCCGGAGGCCTCATGGTGACTAAGGATATGACCCAATATACCGACTTGTTCAAATCATGGGACATCGACGATGAAGCTAAGGGCCCCGGTGGCGCGCTGGACGTGTTGCTGGAAGTGGGCAGTTTGTTCGTGATTGGTGTCGAAGCTCTGAGGGAACGCATTCGTGGCGGTGCTGCGAGCGGAACCACCGGTGGTTCGGCGAGAAATGCCAGCCAAGAAGGCAAATTGAGTGTCCAGGAAGTGAGGGCTTATGTTTCCAGGCGAGAGGACTCGAATACACTTGCCATGCAGCAAGTTCTTAATGCTCTCTAATTTAACAGCGACTTTTCCAGACGAACTCTCCAATGTTTGACATGCAGGCTTTGATTACGATAGACTACACCTTGTCTAGTGTTCCAAGAGCTCCCTTCTTTTCACGAAGTCACATATCATCTCACGCTGCTGCACGAACCAGATGTTCCGCGTTTTCCACTCTTTTTCGTCATGTAATTTGATCTCAAATTCGCGCAGCAGCTGTGGGATCACCTTGTACATCTCGAGGAACGAGATATGTTTCCCAATGCAGCTCCTAGACCCAGCCCCAAAGGTCAAGATACTCTGCTCCATGCTCTTCAGTTGCTCGGGCGAGCTTTCCAACCAACGTTCAGGTAAAAACTCATCCGGGTCATGGAAGGTATTTTCACTCCGATTTACCACCCAAGCATTCATCCCAACAGTGGTGCCACCAGGAATATGCTTCCCGCAAATTGTAGCTCCAGCCTCGGGGACTTCGCGTTCCATGATCATACCAACGGAGGGATGAAGACGGAGTGCTTCCTTGATGACGGCACCCAGGTAGGGAAGCTGTGTTGTGGATTCGCGGTATGAGATGGGATTGCTGACTCTGTTCTCGCTTACTGCGGTATCTATCTCCGTCACGACCTTGGTCATAGTGGCTGTATTGCGCATGAGAAGATACAGAATAGCTCGAAGTGCTATGGCAGTGGTGTCGGAGCCGGCAAAGACGTTTGCCGAGAGATGCACGATGGCATCCCTTGTTGAGAACCTTTCTGGATCATTCCGATGGACTGCCATCCAGCGGGACAGCATGTCTTTCCCGGACTCCGGGTCCTCGTGGATCTCTCCGTCCTCTTTAAATGGAGAGTCTGGGTTGATGGCCTTCAGTGTGAACTGTAAGACCTGGTTCCAGCTCTCCAGACCGGGGAGCAAGTGGAGGACCAACGGGTTTCCCAGCAGCAGGTTATGGAGTTCCGGAATCTGGCCACATAGACTGGCATAAACGAGGTTACCATGAATAGATTCCATGATATTGTCGACGTCACGACCCTCTTCGAGAAAGCCCAGCTTTTTGGAGAAGGTCACTTCGCCGACGACGTCGAAAGCGTAATATTGTAACCAGTTGCCCAGGTCGACGGGCGTCTTTTTGTCCGCGAATTTGGACATTTGGGTCATGAAGATGGAGGTGCAGGAATCGATTGCGGACTCGGTCTCCAGGAGAGAGGACAGACTATATGCATTCGCTATATTACGTCTTTGGACACGGTGATAGGAAACGTCTCTTGTCGAGAAAAGATTCATTTGGGGTTGTGTTCTCCATGTCAAGGACTGGATCGGGTAAAATGAAGTCTGGAGGTTGTCAGAATCGTCAATCTATCATTCCTTCAAATGACTTCTAAGCGCAGCATACCTTGTTGAACCCTTTATTCAGCCCGTATATGATTGGAATCGCACTTGGATCACCGACAGAGATGTGGTTTGGGCCGATGCGCACCAGTGAGCCGTACTTACGATGTAGATCGATCTCTACATGGTGCTGATTGCCTTTCCACACACTGTATAGCTTCCACAGACGAGAATATCTTGCCAGGCCCGGCCCGGGGATGTCTTGAAGGCCCCGTTTGTATCGGTTGGTGAGAAGACGAACAAGGATGGCCCCGAGAGAGACATAGACAGCATATATACCTAAATAGTAAGTGGAATTCATTTCTCGTTCTGCGACTCAAAACCAAGAGCTGGATGTCATTTGTGTCGTAGTAGTCGAGGTGGTGTGCTCCTTTTGTATCACGGGAGGCAAAGTGGAAGACTGTCACACCAGAGATCGACCTCATTATTACCAATCTCGCTTTGACAAGCTGCCAAATCAATGGAAAGCGCTCTAACCGAAGCCACTCCGGCTATATTGATTCCAGAGGGGGAATCCTGCAGGAGGGCGGGGTGTTGAGACCTTGCAAGTCGTTGCACTACATTAGTACGACGCAATACTAGCAGGGATCGACATCCCGCTCTGAAGAATGGACTCAATGGAATTGAATATGGCATATTGCTTCAGGCCTTCCTCTGGCCCGCGCGCAGGGACCCAGACCTCACATGTCTTGATACTTCGCGCATATAGCCAGTTGGCTTCGTAAATTTCCAACATGACTTTATATCCTCGATACATGGCAGCTCTTGAGGCACTGGATCATACTAGGGCTTTTTCTCTATCTTGTCAACTGGAAATTGCTACTCATCGAATCGTAGCCTTCAGTGACAGCCCTGGAGTGGAGGTTGACATAGATACATAATTCCAAGAACATCCACACCTTCCAAGGTTGATCTTGACGAATTGTTCGAGCGATTAATTCAAACCCACACGAGCGAGACATACAAGTATTTGGTCTCTCGAAATCAAGCAGAGTGCCCAGGTGCCCAGGTGCCCAGCCCTGGAGCCCTGGAGGGCCATTTTGCCGACCAATAGCCCTGGAACTTAAGAAACTTGGCTCAACGTAGAGTGATGTCTCTGTATTCCATCCTCGCTCTGTCTTTTCTGTCAGATGTCGAATATTACATTTATAGTCTCCACGCTGTAGGGCTTAATAACATGGCTCGCAATCTATTTATCAAAATGCAACACCGCAATAGATGCTAAACATCGTGATCATTGTTGATTTGAAATTTTGGTCTCCCTGGATGTTGTGCTTTTACCTAGGTATGTGGGGGTTTGGGATCTATCACACGTACGAAAAAGACAGACAAAACAGAGAGAGACCCGGGATCAAGGAAGCAATTACAATCTACAAGCAGAATAGATTGAATGTGTCTCCTCGAATGTCCAAAAGTTCAAAATCGCGATGTACCCGGGTAAGTCGCACAGAAGCTATGTCGAAGACCGCTGCAAAACCAACTCGTGAGACTCATTCAGACAGCGAGCGCCCATCTCAAAGCACTCCACGCAAATGGTAAAAGTGGTATCGAGACAGATGGGACAATTATGACACGCAACTAATAAGGAAATTAATCGAGTGCATGCATCACAACGTTTGGTTTTACCCGTCGGCATAGAGCTGGGCTCCACGGCCAAATCGCCCTCACATACTTCTATGCCTCTGATTTGGGCAAATCGAACAAGAGCATCTGCAATACTAGTTTTCTGACATCGTTTGGCCCACCAGAGCAAAGTGTGCCCAAAATTGTCTTTTAACTGCAGGGATGCTCCGGGCATGGCAAGGAACCAATCGACAACTAATTCATGCCCGTTCCGTACAGCCAAGAACAGTGGGCTTGAGCCATATCGATCCATGGTATTGACAACGGCGCCCCAAGAAAAGAGCTCCTGCAAAATGGCTAGGTGGCCTCTTGCAGATGCAAGGGAAAGCGGAGTTCGCCCACATGCGTCCGTAGCTTTGATGCTGGCACCGTGCTCGTAGAGAAATTTGACAACTTCAAGATGCCCCGATTTCGATGCTGCGGCCAAAGGAGTTGATCCGGTAAGGCTATGCCGATGGATATCAGTATCAGCTCCATGCTTGTATAGGAACTTGGCGACTTCAAGATGGCCCGAAGAACATGCTAAGGCAAATGGAGTCCAGCCGTCATTGGTTGCGTGGTGGATATCGGTATCAGCTCCATGCTCGAATAGAAACTTAATGACTTCGAGATATCCCGATCCAGATGCCATGGCCAATGGAGTCCAGCCGTAATCACTTGCCCGATGAGTATCCGCAGTAGCCCCATGCTCGTATAGAAACCTGACAACTTCGAGATGTCCCGATCCAGATGCCATGGCCAATGGAGTCCAGCCGTCATCACTTGCCCGATGAGTATCCGCAGCAGCCCCACGCTCGTATAGAAACCTGACAACCTCAAGATGTCCCATTTCAGCTGCTACGGCTAACGGAGTCCAGCCGTCATTAGTTCCACGATGAATATCAGCATCGGCCCCATGGTCGCATATAAACTTGATGAGTTCGAGATGTCCCGATTCAGACGCTGCAAAGATAGGAGTTGCACCATCGCGGTCCGAGGTGTGAATATCAGCACCGGCCCCGTGGGCGTAGAGGAATTTGACCACCTCAAGATGTCCATTCTTCGATGCGACATACATTGGTGTCCTGTTGTCTTTATTAGGTGCATGGATGTCAGCACCGTGAGCGTGGAGAAATTCCACTACCTCTAGATGTCCTTTGATTGATGCAATAAACATCGGTGTCTGGTGATCCTTGTCAGGACGATGGATGTCACCACCGTGGGCATGGAGGAATTTGACCACTTCCAGATGTCCATTCTCCGACGCGACATATATTGGTGTTCTGATATCTCCATTAGGCACGTGGATATCAGCACCGTGAGCATGGAGAAACTCCACTACCTCTAAATGTCCCCTGAGTGATGCAGTAAATATCGGTGTCCAGAGATCCTTGTCATTATCATATGTTTGGATATCAGAACCATGAGCGATGAGGTATTCAACCACCTCGAGACGACCCTTGTATGATGCAGCAAGTAAGGGCGACCAACAATCTTTACTCGGAGTCTGCATTTTCCCACCAGTGACATGGAGGAATTTGACTACCTCGAGATGTCCATTGAGTGATGCAGCATATATCGGCGTTAGGAGAGATTTACCGGGCATCTCGATGTCAGCACCATGAGCGAGGAGGTATTTGACCACCTCAAGATGACCAAAAAGTGACGCGGTAAGTATTGGGGTCCAGTGATTGCTATCAGGTATATGGATATCAGCGCCATGAGCGTGGAGGTATTTGACCACCTCAAGATGGCCATGACATGACGCAGCAAATATTGGGGCCCAATGATTGCTATCAGGTATGTGAATATCAGCGCCATGGGCGTGGAGGTATTTGACCACCTCAAGATGGCCATCAGATGACGCAGCATATATTGGTGTCCAATGATCGCTATCAGGTATGTGAATATCAGCGCCATGGGCGTGGAGGTATTTGACAACCTCAAGATGACCAAAAAGTGACGCGGTAAGTATTGGGGTCCGGTGATCGCTATCAGGTATATGGATATCAGCGCCATGGGCGTGGAGGTATTTGACCACCTCAAGATGGCCATGAGATGACGCAGCATATATTGGTGTCCAATGATCGCTATCAGGTATGTGAATATTAGCACCATGAGTGTGGAGGTATTTGACCACCTCGAGATGGCCTTTAGTTGACGCAGCATATATCGGTGTCCAGTGATCGTCATCAAGAGTGTGGATATCAGCATCTGCTCCATGTGCGTGCAAAAATTTGACGATTTCCAGATGGCCGTTGAATGATGCTCTAAACATTGGTGTGTTTCCAAAAATGTCGATAGCCCTCGAGTTAGCTTTGTGAGAGCAAAGGTGCTTCACCATCCCTAGCTGTCCAGAAGTAGCAGCTCGATGCATAGCTGAACTCCCCCGACCATCCAATTTTCGAATCAATGCCCTCTGATCATCGCTGCACTTCAAAGCCAATATCACTTTTAGCCAGGTTTCCAGCAGATCTGGAATTGTGTGAGTTGACATTTTCTTTGGCAACATGCCTCCCGCTAGCTCGGCCGTGTGAAAAGCTGCGATCCCTGATACATATATGATGAGAATCAGGACCCACAATAGAAGACGATCCACTGCGAGAGTCATAGCTCTAGCTATTGGGGATCGGCACATTCCAAGGGCACTCAGTTTGCTCGGCAAGCCCATCATCTTCTCCGCCATACTCAGTAGCCCGTGCTGTGCTGCCAGGTGCATGATGGTAGTTCCTTGTTCCTGAACCTCTATGATCTCATTCCCGAGAGTTTTGCAAATTTTTGACCAGTATTCGATGGTCTTTGGTGAGGGCACACTGACGCGACTCCCAAAGCCTTTCACTTCTGCTTGGACAGCGTGGTCTATCCAATGTTCTGCTGCATATTTCAGAAAGGGAAAATCCGATAGCAATCTCTCACGTTCACCGATGGATGCCACATATATCTCTTCTGATGACAAATAGGAGATGCATGTATTGGCGAGCTGAAAATCAGCTGTCTCGTCAAGGCCCCGTCTTGAACTGATTCTAGAGTTGAGATACTCCAATCCACACGTGTCCATGAAATATTTCACGGTTTCATGATGGAATCGGACAAGAGATCTGTTTTGGGAAGCTTCTGTATCGGCAATCTCGATCAAACCCTTTCCGAGATGTAGGATCCTTCTCATCATCTGTTGATCACTCATGGAAACCGCTGGGACTTTGCGGCCTCCTATCTCTGCTGGCCCGGGAAGTGTACCCAGATGACAAGACATTGCAATCTTGATCTCTTCCAGGAGTAATGGTCGACAAGAAAAGCGAATCCACTGAAACAGTCTCCCCGCTTCTGGTAGTTCTTCGTCCCTGAGACTTCCAAGCAACGCTTTGTAGAGTCCATTCAATTCCACTGGGCAGTTGAAGATATGCGTTTCAATGTATCCCAGGGGAAGCCCCTGTGCACTCATCTCATGGACACGATTGACCACTAGAACAACCCAGAGGAACAACCCACGTGTTTGGCTGAAAAGAGAATTTTTGAAGTGAATCACATCTGACTCCTCCTCTCCCGGAATGCGCAACTTCTGATCCACATATTCCTGAATGTCCAGTTGATTCTTCTCCTCCATGCGGATGCTAAAGTCCACCACAAAGCTCTCAACGGGATATAGGCGGCAGGTAAGAAATATCCTTGGCCGATCAGATCTTTCTGCATCTTTTCCTCTGATGCTATGAAGAAAACCGATAAGCTGATCTCTTTCCTGGTCCAGGCACTCATCCACAGCGTCGACAAAGATAGAAATATGACCTCCAATAGATCCATCAAATACCAGAGTTTCAAAAAGCCTTTGTAACTCGATTGGGTGCCACTTGAGACTGCCGCTTTTTCTTTGCTCGACAGTTTCCCCAATCATGCGTTTGCGACAATATTCATGAAAAGATAACCTGGAAGTTGGATCCTGCTCGACCAACTGAAGAAGAACGGAGCGCAAAAAGCCTTCCATGTTTCTTTGGAGGGGTATGCCGCTCCGATAGAAAAGAAAACGGAGCGTTGCATGCGATGCCCCCTGTTTCCTTTCCTTGCCTACCGCGAACTTCAAGAGGGTGGATTTCCCGGAGCCAGGATTACCCCTAACGAGGAGCAGACCACGCTCTCCGAGCCAACGTTGGTATTCAGGTGCCTGAAGCAACCACTCGCAAGTGCCTCGCGTATGTGTACTTAAAATCGACTCCCTATAACCGAACCCTTCGAAGGCAAGTGACTCGATGCAACCTTCGCTGTTAGTATGATACCTCGCAGCAGCTCGAGGGCGATCGCTCACTCTCCCAACTCAGGTCCTCGATTATGGGTCTGGTCACTCCCTGTCCTCCCCGCTGGTTTAATTCCGCATCATCCCCTGTTGTTCGTCGTGCTAAGGGTCCAAACTCGCCTCGCCTTTTTGACTTCTCATTTCCAAAGTGAGCAGTTCCGTTCACGATGAGCCCATTGAATTGATGGGATCGACTGCTCAAATTTCCACTGAAATGCTGTGATCTCTTCATGATATATGAACTGTCTAGGTTGGCAAGGATGAATCAACATGATCTGAGGTGGGATTTTGAGAGCGAAGAGGGGTGAGGAGTCGAACTTGGGACGAAATGTACATGCGAGTCACGCATGTATTGTACGATACCCACCCAATACCCCGTACGGTCATAATGGGGCATTGATACCAGCTTGTACTGACCATGCAATTTCCACGATACATACTGACATGGCGATCCAAGCCCTCGAACTAAGCGCCGCAGCTGAAACAGCGCCCTTTCCAGAGTGATCAACGTTCCTTTTCTTCAAGACCCTAGCCCTGCTATCATCTTGCGATCAAACAGTCGGCTGTGTTTAACTTTCACCATGCCGAGCAACCAAAGCACTCGGTCGGGCGATCCTAAAGATTATGAGATTGCCATCTTCTGTGCTCTGGGTCTCGAGGCAGATGCGACCATCGCGATGTTCGATGAGATCTGGGAGCATGCAGACCAGCCTCTGAGGGCTCCTGGCGATACCAATAGCTATACCTTTGGTCAAATTTGGCAGCACCCCGTGGTGCTGGTTCATCTACCGCGTATGGGAAAGGTATCAGCTTGCCAAGCATCAGCCAATCTGCGATCCAGTTTCCCACACGTCCGCCTAGGATTACTCGTGGGGGTCTGTGGGAGTGTACCCTCCTCCGGCACACAAGATGTCTTCCTGGGCGATGTTATTATTAGCACTCAGATCGTGCAACTCGATTTCGGACGGTTATATCAACATGGCTTTGCCCGGAAAGACAGCCTGGAAGACAATCTCGGCAGACCAAACCCAGAAATGAGCGGATTCTTGACCAAGCTGCAAGGGCAGAACGCCCGGGCTGAGATCAAGAACTCGATGTGCGCGGGTCTTGCTACTGTCTTTGAATCCACAACATTTGCGCTCTCGAATCGCCCGGCGACAAACCAAGATAGACTCTTTGATGCAAATTACGGTCATAAACATACAGACCCCAAAGCATGTATATCTGCCGAATGCACATGGTCTGAAAACAGCGTTTGTGATGATGCCCGGAGCCTGTCTTGCTCTGAGCTAGGATGTGACCTGGGCAGGGTGGTGCCTCGAATCCGAAGGCAGAGGGATCAACCCTATAGCACCTCATCCGATGATCCTGACATACATTTTGGCCGAGTAGGTTCAGGTGACCAGGTGATCAAATCGGCCCTACACCGTGACTGCATCGCCAAGGAGGAAGGGGTGATTGGGTTCGAAATGGAAGGGGCTGGTATATGGGAAACCGTCCCGACCATCATAGTCAAGGGTGTCTCTGACTACTCCGATAGTCATAAGAGCAAAGCATGGCAGCCTTATTCTGCGGCTGCGGCTGCGGCCTGTGCAAAAGGTATGCTGAAGATGTGGAGAGCACCAAAACGCACGGAGAGACGTCATGTCCGTGAATCGGCCCCGCCGCAAGTGCATCAAGTGTTTAGCGGCAATTTTACAGCAGGAAAGAGCATCCATAATGGTGGTACTTTTACTGCCGAATCCATCAATTTCTGAAGCAGTGCCCGATTCTCATCTTTCATATTAAGAATTTGGAAATGAAAAGGGTTCCATCTGAATTTTGAAAGTACTCATCAGGTACCAAACAAAGCACACGGGAACGGAGAAGAGATGTCTAGATATACCATTGTTTCTGTCAAAGTTCCACTACTTCAATACATTCACTAATAATATAGAAGTATGTCTGACGAAATAAGCCCCCGTTCAGGTTCACTCTGCACTGCAATTTTCGCAAACTTGGATATATGGGCTTTACTTTGATTCCAACATCCATGGAACGTCCAGCCCCGATCAGGGTCAAAGCCGAGAAATCAATCAACCTTGGGTCAGGTACCAGTGCCCAGACATTCTTGTCTCGGCCAATAATAGCCCGGCAGAGACCAATGATAGGTGGATCCGCTAACGCGCCAGTTTCATCTCGCCGTTGGGCGTCGTGAACCACGGTTCCCCCAGGGGCTAAGTCTTCGAGACTTTCCACATTTCGACAGAATCCGGGTTGGTTCATTAAACACCGTGATGGTATGACTGCATGCTGAGTGGCCAAACCTGTTTTGATCACCGTGGTCAATGGGTCGTATCCCCGGGATCCCTTCGCACCGGGATGCCGGCTGCTAACCGAGAGGTCCTAATTTGCAGTCTTTTTCCCTTCTTTTTTTTTCCACCGGTACTGTAGCATCATGGTAGTATTTGCATGAGGGAATAACCCATTGAAGCGGAGTTGGGCAATGCACCTCGCTCGTGGATATTTATGCCACAGTGCTCCGTGCTAGTACTATAGACACCGAGCACAGGGCACTACTACATTTCAACTATATTTAATGCGCGTACTGCCTGTCGGTAGTATACTATTACTCTACTGTACTATGTACTATGCCAGCCGAGTAGAGAGTGTTGAGGGAGAGTGGCCTCGGCACACGAGGGTGGCTTTTGGTGGCTGAATTTTCACCGGCCCGAAACTTTAATTCGCGTGGCGACTCTTCGTCTCGCGTCCACGGTTCAACGTGTTTCAAAGGAGACGTTTCAGAACTTGACTGCTCTTGCTGTTTAAATACAAGTGAGGTAGAAGGGAAAGTGTGAGTTAGGGGAGCTCAGACTGAAGCTTGCACACCTCGAGCCTCTCGAGCCTGGACGACGCATAGCAGCCCCACCACCATGACGAGGCACGGCACCAGAGACAAGCTCCAGCGGTGACCTGCAACTACTCATTTAGCACAGACCGATCGGGAAGTAAACAAGGATGATCAATGGATCAGATCTCGGAGTCCATCTCCGCCGGTCCAAGAGCGACAGAATGGTTCGTAAGGCTGGCACGCTAACTTTTCCAAGAGCACTCCACGCAAATGGATTTCGCGGACGAATCGGCAAATCATGAAACCAAAGGAGCCTTCGGTTGCACAGAAGCCCACCAAAAATCTGCAGGCAATCGGTTTAGGCATTTACCAAAGAGCCTCTGCATATTCGTGGGTCGATATTTCTGATATCTGCGGCAATGAAAGACATGGGCGGGGCTGAATATGATCCAGCTGGCCCATGGTAGTCATCAGGATGCCTCAACTCAGAATTCCTATTGGGTTATTTTTAGTCCCCATCTGTCCCCATCGGAGCTGCTGGGCTCATTGCTACTGGCCAAAGCATAAGTGGAAGAATCCCGGCCCAATCCCCAAAAAGGAAGCTTCTATTCTTCTGAGCCATCCATGGAAGTGCTCATCGAAACCACTTTACAGATGCCGAAGGCCATCGATGGAGGCTATGACATGCTCTGGTGAGTGGTACCCCCTTTATATTGCTGTGGCTCAGGGTCCGCTATTTCCTTGGTCGACTGCCCAGTGCCGAGTTCCAGCCCAGGAGCCCATATACACTACATACTGCACACTGCTAGCAGGCCCCATCTTCTCGGCCCCGTAGGATCTAGCCTCCTAGCAGCTCCGGACTATGATCCACAGCCAGGCAAGAGTTTTACTCCGCTAGCACCTTGATTTGAGTTATTCGGGTTTAGATTTTGAATAAATGGGAAGATCGCCCTTCGACTCCCTGATCTCTGTACTGGCGGGCTTCTCACTCTTCACTGGTGCCTTTAGGTCGCCGTCCATTCTTTTTCCCGATTATATTACAATCGTTGATCAATTGACACACTTTCTTTAACATGAGTGAAGAAGGCAGCCCCCGAAACTCCGTAGAGGATGTTTTCATTCCCAAGGAACTGCTTACAACGGCCAAATTCAACTCACCCTGGGAATTGGCAAGATGGGAACAATCCCTCCCGGAGAACAACCGTGTATCTATTCCTGCGCAGCCTCGCACCTCAGGCACTCGCCCCCTCAGTCTTTCTGCCCTGCGAGCCGTAGCAAGACCTCGATCTGCCATTCGACCTCGTGGACGTAGCGACCCTCCGGCTTTTGAAGGTAAGAGAAATTTCCACCCAAAAGCCCATATAATACACACATTCTATGACTTTTGATCGCTTTCTTAAGATCCATGGCTACCTTAATATCTTTCATCAGACTAATGTGATAATATAGGCTCAACATTCGATTATTTTGCAAAGCCGGCTACATTTGAGCCGGCATCTCCAATCCCTGAAAAGGAACCCATTACGCCAGTGCAAAATGCTTTCATTAGCCCAAGCAAGAACAGCTCCAGCTCTGATGTCTCCAGTGGTGGACGAAGCGAGCTGCAAGAGGTTTACGAAAAGGCCAAACTAAGGGGCGTGGCTATTCAACGCAAGCATTGGGTCCGGCTGCTGTTTGAATACAGCATCTACGCCTTTCTCGTCCTCTTTGTATATTTCGTCCTTGTTGGCATGCCTCTTTGGAAAGGTGCAGTTTGGTGGCTGTATTACGTTGTTCGAACAAAGTTCGTCATCCAAGGTGGATATGCCATTACAATTGGACTGGCAGCACTGTGAGTATATCCCGATCAGCTCATGGTGGCTCTTATTGACAACATCAGTTATGCATTCTGCCCACTTATGATTCTGTTTGAAAAAGACCCCCCTGCAGTCCCTGAAACCGACTCACCAGATTTGGAGAGCAACAACTCGAATGTCAAGTCAACTGCTCTTTTGATTCCTTGTTATAAATCGGCCACTATCATCGGTCCAACACTCGAAGCTGCACTCAAGATCTTCCCAAAGGAAAATATTTTCGTCGTTGCAAATGGCAATTCCAAAACACCTCTCGACAACACCGAGGGAGTCTGCAAGCCCTTTGGCGTCAACCATCTCTGGGTTCCAATTGGTTCCAAGATCGTCGCCCAGTTCGTTGGATGCTATGCCGCGAAAGACTTCGAGAATGCAGTTCTCATCGACGATGACTGTCTCCTACCCCCAAACTTCCCGATTGTCAGCGACAGACTCAAGGGCAATGTTAAGTGTCTGGGCTACACCATTAAGAGCGTGGGTCCCAACTCCTCCAAAGGCACCTACTGTCAACAGGCGCAGGACCTGGAGTATAAGATGTCTGGTATCCAGCGCCAATTCTTCGGCAAAATGGGAAGTGCCACCTTCCCACACGGCGCCATCTCTCTTTGGAATATCGAGTTCTTGAAACAGACCTTTCATGAACATCCCGGATTCTCGGTGTCAGAGGATTGGTTCTTCGGCGATGCATGCCGACGCCTTGGTGGTCGAATCACTATGTGTTCGCAGGTCTTTGTCGAGACCGAAACGCCTTCATCGGTATTCATCAGTGGTAGTGGCAGCCGTGGCGGATTCGGTGAGATGACCATCTTCCAACAACGATTCAAGAGATGGAACTTTTTCTTTGTCGTTGGCATGTACTACGACCTCAAATATATTCTCACGAGCTGGAAACTCGGCTGGTGGGAAATTGGAGCTAAGCTCTGCGTCTTCCAGGAGGTGAGCTTTCCTTGATTCCTGCTAGCAACAATCAACTAATGATCACAGGTCTATGAAACACTCATCTATTTGTTCGCCCCGTTCATCCTGCCCATCTCGTTCGTTGTCCGTCCGTCTTTCTGTGGAATGCTGCTCGGCGTCACGATCGGAATGTACATCATCAACGTGATTATCTTCAACGAGATCCACCTCCGCCTCAAGAAAGAACGCATCGATTGGAAGGTTCTTCTCTTCTATTACACATTCTACAAGATCGCCTTGACCGTCATCAATGTCTTCAGCTGTTACTGGTCGCTTTACAAGTACGCACGCTATTTCGCGCAACGGCATCCTAAGGTCATCGAAGACCGGGATGCGGTTGAAGTCTTGCTGAGTCTTGAGAAAGACTCCAGACGTCCTTCCACTGCCGATGATGTTATTCCTCTCGACGCGGCTGCCGAACTTGGTCGTGGTCTGGGGCGCAAGTTGACACTGACGAAGGTCCAGACTGGGAAGAAGCCGGCTCGGTCGGAGTTTGATGAAAAGGCGTCTGCTATGGGGTGGGCTTGATCTGTTTTTATATATTGGTCTTAGACGTTAGATGATACGCCCGTACACGAATATTCTCACTAATAATGCATAAAGTTATGACACTTGATCATGTTTCCCATGTGATATTTGGAATGAGAACATTCAAACCTTGGAAGTTACCAGCTGCGCCGTGATGTTAAACCAACAATGTTATTACCTAGGTACTCTGAAGGCGATAGGTTGTAGTTGAACTTCGATCTTCAGATAAAGAGACTAATCTATCCTTTCTCTTTTTCTCGGCATAAAAAGGTCTCCTGGTCTTTGCCATCTTGTATCTCAAAGCCATTTCATGCGCCGGGCAAGGTAGCTTCCACCACCCACAAGACCCGTGACGCCCGTGAAAACAATCAAAGACCCATATCCACTTCCATATCCGTATTCAACATCTCCTTCCCATGGCATTCCCTTGATGAGAGCCTCACTCAAGGGACCCGAGACTAAGTTTCCAACACCTCTCCCGGCCGAAAGAGACGCAAAGACCATGCTTGATTCTGCCGATGGCGTGTTGCGAACCACATCACGCATGATACCGGGCCAAGTGCTGGTATAGGAACCAGCAGAAAGTCCGTACAAGATCGAGAAAATGAATAATGGAGCCAGAGACATCGAGAAACCCCAGATCAGGAAGACACCAATACTCGATGCGATAGTGTTCACCAAGATGCAAAGCGTGACGTCGAGCTTGTCGATGATAGTTCCCATGAGCACGCATCCGATGACGGATGCCGAGTTGAACAGGATGACCGTCAGTGCCTGCAGGGATGTCGAGGCTCCAAGCATACCAGCATAAGTCGGAAGGTAGATTGAGGGCAAGAAGAAACCAAGAGCCTCGACCATGTTGCACAACTCGAAGATAGCGAATGTAGAGGTGAATAGGAACCTCATGTTCGGAGCGGATGGACTGGGTCGGCTCGCTGGAATCGGCACACGCGGTTTCACAAAGTATACCAGCGGCCCAGTCAGGACAAACAATACGACCGCGAACCCTCGTAGAGTAATGCGGAACCCATATTTCCCCAGCAACTGCTCCATGACGATGGGCAGCACGGCACCACCGAGTCCAGTTCCGGCCCACATGACACCGAATGCGAGGCCTTTGCGCCGGTCGAACCATTGCTCCATCAGGAGGATACAGGGGGCGTAGGCGATGCTACCTCCGAGGGCATAGAATATGCCCTGGGCAATGATGAGGTGGTTTGTATTCGTGGCGAGGGAGCTGAGGCCAAGAGCCGCGCACATCATGAGCACACCCAAACCACAACCGAGACGTTGGAATCTCGGCCATTGTCTGTAGGCAGTGAAGACAAGTGGGATATCAAGATACATGATACCCTACATTTTGTTAGCTCGATTCGCGCCAAAGAGCAAGGTCTATCTCTTTACCATAGCGCAGGTTCCCACTACAGCGATGTTCCCGGAGTCTTTGAACTGGGGAATATCGCTGTAGTACGCTTGGAACACACCACATGTGAATGCAAAACCCCAAACCAGTGCTTCCATTGCGAAGCATGCTGCGAGGAACAGCCATGCGTTGATTCCACCATCCATGGGTGGAACATCTGCGCCATCATTGTGAGTCGACAATTGTGTGCCATCTGCCGTTCCGATCCCCTTTTCCGTTTCCTCCGGTGGGAAGTTCGCGCGTGTGATTTCGTCCATGGTATGAAATCGAGCGAAATCAACCAAAGATGAAATATTTCGAAGATAACAAAGCGAAGTGTCGAATCGAAGGCTCAAAAGATCTGAGTCTTAGTGCATCCGTGCGGGGAAGTCGTCGCAAGGGCGTACCCAGTCTGTTGGACTCGCCAATCAGCCTCAACCTTGGGCGCCTTCTCGGGACAAATCCCGAGTCCGCGCATATTTCGCAACGAAGTGGTCTGATTGATCCATTTCGATTTAAAGCGACTCGGTATCCACGGTTGAGCTCCACATCCCATGGTTGAATTTGGCGCAAATTCCGGTTGAGCCAAACCCAGTCGGGACACATTTCAAAGTCATGAACATCGTTTTCGAGAAAGTTTGTCTTGGTATCATTATAAAGAGCTTGTATATAGCAAAATATGTTGGTGTAATGGCGGAAGAACGCCCAGTGGGACACGGCATCCTCGTGCCGAACAGACTCTGAGTTCGCTCTGCCGCTATACCGTTCTGTGAGTCGCAGGTCTCCCCACAGCAAGCCCGGGCGTTTTCTACAAAATGAACCTGAAAGAACGATTCTGCTTGTCGGTCTGGTCAACCTGAGGCATATCCCCGTCGGTATTGATTTCCACGCGACGGGTCTCCTCCGGATCGATCTTTACTCCCTGTTCCTTATCTCGGCGTGCGTTCTCCCATGAAAGGTAGAATCGGAAGCCGATGACCATACCAATGGTAATTGCATAGCAAACGACGATGGTAGTGTAGGCCGTCTGAGAGAGCACGTTAGCAGCTGCGTCCAATTCCCGATATCAGCTTAGTTCACGTACATGATAGTTCGGCGCTTCTGATGCAATGAAGAATTGCGGTCCGGCGAGGTTTCCTGCACAGTAGCCCAAGAAGATCACGGCCATGACAGTTGATTTCTTGGTGAAGCCTGCGATGTTACTTGCTGCCAGCGATAGCATAAGTGGGAACGCCGGGGAAACTGCCGTGACAAGCCAGAATCCGGCTAGTCGGGAGATCTTTTCACTTTGCGGCAGGAGCTTCACCATGAGGATTCCCGCTAGGGCTATGAGGAACAGCAACACCAGATTAATCAGGCGGGACTTGCGGAAAGTTGAGCTCAGAAGTGCCGAAAGGATGACCGTGGTCAATTGGAAGGCGGGCGCTGGCAATCCCATCAATATCGTTTGGAACTTGTCGTAGCCAAACCCTTTGATGATCAGAGTGCTGAACTGTTGCCTTTGTTAGTTCTGGATCGTTCCGGTCTTTGGACTAGATATGGTGCCTACACTTGTGGTGCCCCCGTTGGGCACACAGATCACAAACGAGAATAGCAAGAACCACCATGTCTTGATGTCTGCCAGGCTCTCTATGAATTGATGTCGGTCCCATGACTTGGTCTGGATGGTCTTCTGGTATTTGTAAGGACGAAGCGCAGCCCACTCTCGTTCCGCGGGTGATAGGAACTTGGCTGTTTGTGGGGAGTCGGGTAAGTAGAAAAATGTCACAACCGACCACGCAACCGTCATAAGGCCGAATAATAGAAATAAAATCTGGCTTCATTAGCGATGGGATTACATGGAGACGTGTAGGGAGTCAAACCTTCCATTGGGGAAAGCTGCCTTCGTATTTCAGTAGTCCATATGCAATGGAAGAGCCGACGATGCCGGCAATGGCATTTCCTGCAAACCAAATCGAGTGTCGCGAGACATGCTCTCGGGGAGTATACCACATTCCGGTTATCAGAGAGAATCCGGGACTAATGGCGCTCTCAAATACACCCAGCAGGGCTCGAAGGGCCATGAGACTCCCATAGTTGGTGGTGACGGCATGAAGGGTCAAGACAACACCCCACAGGAAGCTGAATTTGTGAGTATGAGTTGATTCCCATGGTAGAAGTCGCCTTACATCAAAACGCTGAGATATTTCCCCAGTGGGAATCGCACGAAACCAAGCGAAATTGGGTATGATGCAACGAGATATCCAATATAGAAGATGCTGGATGTCCAGCTATATTGCTGTCCAACAAGACTCTGTTCAAATGGTTAGTCACAGACTGCAGATCCTCGGGAGGGATACATACAAGATCTTCTTGAAGCCCAAGGATTGCACTATATGCGAGACTCGTCTCTGATTCGGTGAGTCAGCACGCCGGTACAGAGTAGAGAGCGACACGTCGGAGAGGACTTACTATCCAGAAACTGAAGGGCATACGAGATGATCAAGATGGGCATTAGGCTTGCGACCGAGTGAGAATTGAGTTCAGACCGCCAAGACAGGGGTTCAATGCTTACATCCAGTCGATCTTCCGAATCAATCGTTTCTCGTCTTCTGGATTGAGGGTCTCTGTGGCAGATTCTTCCAGCATACTTTCGTGCTTGAGGTCGGGGTGGATGGCCGCGCTGCGGGACTCTTTCTCCATACTGAGATGCGGTGTGACGAAGTCGAGCGATTCAATGGGAACAGGGGATATGAACTGCAAACAGTCATACCTCTCCGTATACTGAGAGGACAACGAGAGTTGAGAAGAAGACGGGACAGGGGAGAGACATGGATCTCCGCACTTGATCTTCTCGTGATAACAGGGGAGATGTGATTGGTCCCGTCGACGGGCTACCAAGATGGGGGTGAACCTTGACTCCCGCTACGCCCAAAGAGGAAAGTATCAGCCTCACCTGGGGCAGATATTACATTGTCCGCAAGGTGCGGCCTGGGGAAATTACATAGACTGGACTTCATTTCCCGTAGTCACTCGACATTTGGCCTCAGGCCAGTCGAATCTCCAACGTCACAATCCAGGTTGTCCGATGAATTCTCTAGAATGGACGAACAAGCCGGGATCTAGGGTGTTAGCTCTAATGCTAGTCTTGACTCTTGACTAGCGTCGCAAAAACCACAAGTCTTCCCAATCTCGTATTTCTGGGGGCCATGCCGTGCGATGTGGGGGATTTCCAGGGGCCACTCCAGATCCTGTCTCACATACAAAGATGGCCTTGTGTAACATGGCTGCAGTGCACCATTCAGGGCTGTTATGTTCCACTCCGGCTTGCGGTTCTTCACACCAACAATTGCGCATTCATGCTTCGAAGTTCCACCCCAGTCCGGTTGTCTGAGAACTCGCAATCTGTAAGGTTGCAATCCGAATCCCATCGCGCGTTATCAGGTTCGACATCACTTCGCCCGGCCTCAGTTCTGGTGTTGACATAAATCCCACCCTGGAGATTTTCTCCACAACGAATATTCACCTGGGAGAACCGACCCAGCTCACATGCCATGTCCACGACATCCAGGTTTCGCTCCAGCTGAGCAAGCATGATAGCAACCAAGTCTTAGGGCTGATCACCTTGGGATAATGTGGTAGCCGTGGGATGGATTTAGTGAAGAGTGAGATGGAAGGATTTCTCTCGAGTGTCCATCATAGTCTGGGAATTTCCAGAAAGACGGATGACCCGAGTCGTTTTGTGCACAGCATCGTCCTTGTCCATACATGCGCCTTGTCAATGGGCCGGCACTCGAGTCACAGTATAGCCACGCTCTTGGTCCACCAATCGGGGATATATTATCTCCACTGAAGTATATCAACCGACTTGCTTCCCATGCTGGCAATCGAAAAGGGTAGAGGGGTCGGGGCCATTTGAAGGTACCTAGGTACAGCCGATGGAGATTCTGTGTGGCTTTGGAATTCCTTTTCTTGGCCAAGATGCCTCGACGGCTGAAGTCCAGAGTGAAAAGCCTAGCGTTTGCATGAAGCGATGTTGTGTTGGGCTCAGTGAAGAGCAAACCCAGGCTTGGCAGCAACCAAAGAGATGTTTTTTTTTTTTTTTGCAATGTTCGTCACTGTCCAACTAGCAGCGACCGAGTAAATAGTGACTTGTCATTCAACAGCGCTCAGGAAATCTCCACTTTCGTGGCCTCTACCGGCGAGCGTCGACTGCGAAGCGCAGCCTTAGTGGGTGTTTCGGCAGAGGCTCTCGGCGTTCTGGTGTTTGCTAGGTTCTCGGCCATTCGTCATTCGTGGTCCAAGCTGTGTATAGTTGGCGCGATCTGGCCGCGATTCTCTCGGTCTGATTTTCCCAGTTCTGACGAGGAATTGGGACAGATCATTGACCTCTCCGCATTCGTATACTTCCGACCTGGATGATCTGTCGATCTCGAATCGCAACCTTGAGTTCCACTCGGATGAGGTCATGGTATTTCTAGTCGCGACTGTCTTTCGTGGATCTCAGTCGTGGATCTCACAGTCGCACAGTGCTCGACCCCGCAATCTTCGCACAATGTTAACTCCATGGCTATATGACACTTGTATACATTCTACAATATTCGTACGGAATACCTTGGAATAATTGATTTCAAAGCTCTGGGCATACGGACTACGGAAATGTTCTCTGTCTCCGAGATTCCACTCCAAAGTGGCTTCGGGGCCGAAATTGGGGCTGTTCTCAGGCCTAAGTTTGGAGATCCGACTGTGACCAGTCCCACGGACTCCAATTGGACCTTGAAAGTTGAAGTCGGCAATTGTAACCGCATGGGAACATTGAAGGTTCAGTAGATGCATAGACTCTTTGCGAACAGGGGAGCTTATCGCTGAAAGCTGATCGACGGCTAGTGGCAGGTCTCGATCGACAACTATTTCCTGATCAATATGGTCCGTTCAATATATTGTCTGGAATGGCAATATACAGTTGGAATCACAATTCAAGTGCACGTCATTCCACATGCAGTACGAGAAATGTTAATCTCTGATTGGGATGTGAGAGATTCATTTCATCTTCCATGTGGATATGAGCTGTCAACTGCGAAAATCCGGGAATGTGGCTCTTTGGGAAAATCTGCAAATCCACTATCACCGACGCTAAAATGTGTTGTCACCGTTTTCTTTGTTTGACTCGAGTGGGTCGCCAACGCAATTTGCACCAGATCCGGGTGAGTGCAGTTGAATTTCAATAATGAGCAGGGATAGACTGAATAGTACAGAGCATAGAGAGCTCTACCCTGGATTCTGTACTCCCTACTCCCTCCGTCCTCCATCCTCCATCCTCGAGAGTCCCTTGGAGCTGCAAGGCCGTGTTTCAGACCAAGCAGTGGTAAGCGGGACACTCGAGGAAAGTGACCAGTCGTAGGATCGGATCGGATCCCCTTGCGGGCCCAACGTCAAAGCGAGACGCGGAGGCGGGTACTGACTTGGATCTGGTGGGTACAGTACTTTGGGCTCTGTACAGTAAACAGTAAACAGATATACGGAGTATGCAGTACGGAGTACAGTGTAGTATATGGACAGGGTTGAAGAATCGGAATATGCAAGATCGCAAACATGTTCGCAGTAGCTCGATCGAGGGTTCACGATAGCTCACAATCCCGACGAGACGACGAGAAAAGTGACAGGTCTGGAAATAGACCAGTCTGTGCTTCTGGCGCTAATGTACAGCATCCTGTCAGCCCCACGTACTTTGTACTTAAGCCGGTGGTGCCTCGAGAGAAAGAGCCCTTACGTGCTGCCTTACTCAGGACTTGTGCACCATGTCGACCGATTTTGAGTCCCTTCCTCCCGCCGTGCGACGAAAGGTAAGGGTTCTGTTTCTTTGTCTCGCCTGTACCTTGCTATGCTATGCTCTGCTATGCTCTGCTATGCTCTGCTATGCTCTGCTATGCTCTGCTATGCTCTGCTATGCTCTGCTATGCGATGTACTGTACTCTACTGGAGTACAGACCTGCTCTGGCATTGCAACCTCATTTCCCCATTCATCCCGATTCCCCTCGTTTCTATCACATCACTATCACGTTCGGAGATTGGCAACTATTGCCACTGCCCACTTTTCTTTGTCTTGGGGCCTTGCGCCTGATTAGCTGTCGCTACCCCTGAACTAGCGGTGGAGGCGCTACCACCCGCGCTATCTCCCTTGGCATCACCGCTGCCCGTCAGCATTGGCGCAGGCCCGCAGCCCACCCCACCCCATGTCCCAAAGAAGCTCCATGACGCTGAATCCTGGCCATTGCTGACTCCAACCAGTTCTTCTCGAATGTCGAGCGTTTGCGTATTCGGTTAGCGCAAAGCGATCACGGTTCCCCTGCGGGCTCCACGTACTATCAATCCGATGGGCCCTACCGGCGTGTGGTCGCCAACTCGCGTGGTGCCCGCAGCTTGAACAAAAGGGGCCTCGAGAAACGTCCCTCGCTTTCCAGAAAACTTCGCAAACCCGGCTCGCTGCAATTGGCATACCTTGCCGCACAGGCCGACTCCCAATGCTTTCATGCTCTCCCCGCAAAGATTCAACAAAAGCTGTTCTCCCCCGAAGAGCGTCTGCGCTTGAAGCGAGCCTATAGGTCGAGCCTCATCTACGACGCCGCCGACGAAGCCTACCAACGAGACTGTGGCCGTTCGCGCCCGTCCACTGCCTGTCCTTCCCAGACGACCACCTTCTATTCCCAGCAATCCCCGTTGTCCACGGCGTTTTATTCCGACTCCGAATCGGACGACGAAGACATGGACCATACCTTCTATGACAGTTTTCGGTGGCTGGACGAGGATGGGGACCTGGACCTGTCCTTGGATGAATACCACGCCCATGTCGCCGACGCCGCCACCCGAAAGAGAGCCTGCCCCTCTTTCCGCCGTTCCTTATCTTTTTCCACCCAACTCAAGCGCAAGCAACTAGCGCCTATAACCCCATACGCAACCCGCGCTCTGCCCCGAGCGCCCTCGCAGCCCCTCACTCCGCTCTCCAACACATCGGAGTCCCGCCCGTCCTCTCGCCACAGGCCATTCCACGGCCCCAAGTCCTCCACATCCAGCATTGATCCCTCGGCGCAATACTACCAAGACCCGGATGCGCGACTCAAGCTGCGTGTGTATCTGGCCTCGCCCCAGAAGTTCGACGAAGCCATTGAGTTTGGGTTCCCCTCCCTTGATGACAAGGAGAATGAGCTCGAGCCTGAGCCCATTTCCCCCAGGCCCACGTTGGTGAACTCCGACTCCGACTTTGGTACATTCTTCGAGGACGACGATGGCACGATGGTGGGCAGTCCCGGGAGTTCTGTCCGGAATGTCCCAACCTCCCCGGTCTTCCGGGAAACCCCTCGACCCTCCGTCGAGTCGTGCATGCTGCCCCCGCGCCAATCATGGCTCCCCAGCAAAGGCGTTCCGCAGCGGCTTCCGGGCAACCGAGAAATGACGCTCAAGATGACTTTGACCCGTCCCGACCTGCGGAATGCTTCTCCCACCTTTTCTGCCTCGAAAGAGAAAGACCAAGATCCCTTGCGACTGGCGGAACTGCCGCCCCCGGATCGCACCAAGCTCATTTGGGATGAAGACCTCGATGAGCAAGGTATGGTCAAGAAGATGTGGCGCCGGCTCCGTCGTCGGGCATGATTTCGCTCATTTATCTAATACCCCTAATTTTCTTTCCAGTCATTCGTTTGTGCGAATTGATGTTATATACCAGGCGCCCCAGGAATTGTCCTGCATTTCAGCGATTTTCACTTTGTCCATTCTTTGTATCTACTTTTTCAGTACATGTGTACATAGCTTGACCATGACCAATCCGCACTCCCATCACTTCTTTCCTCTCAATCCCAATTGATGTCCATTGTCGTCGGCGTAAAAGTAGCGAATTCGAGATTTGACCCGTGGGCCGAGACCGCGAAACCCACGGTTCGTCGGATTCATCGGATACCGATAAGCTCTCACGTGACAGGGAGCTTTCAGCCTGGAGGCCACGCAGCTCCGTCATCTCGTTTCATTCCCTTCTACTCTTCTTCTCAACGTTATAGCGATCTCTTTCATCCATTGAGCGCATCTGAATTATCTTTTTTTCCATAGTCAGATGCCTCTGCAGCCCCGGTCATGATCCCACGGTGGCTGCTGCTCACACTCAGCCTGCTGCTGGCCTGGGCCAGCCTCGCCGCAGCAGGCAACGAGCCCAATGTTATTACTCATAAACTCGAAGGCCCACCGACCGATCTGTTCTACTTCCATGGCACCAACACCGTTCTTTATCGCGACGAGCGTTTCACGGCTCATGTTTCCTTCGACGGCGGCGAGAAATGGGAGGTCATCAAGGGCAAGGAGGGAACGATGGAGGGTTCGGCACTGTTGATCTGGAAGCATCCTTTTGACAAGGACCGCGCATATATTCTCGGCAAGGACGGGAAGCATTGGATCACCAGTGACCAGGCCAAGTCTTGGAAACCATTCAAGGTCGACCTTGAGCTTTCCTTGGCTACCGCTCCTCTGGAATTCCACGGCTGGGATCCCAAGAAGGTCATTTTCATGGGAGCCGATTGCTCTTTGCCCTTCTGCCCCCCGCGGGCCTTCTACACAACAAACGATTTCCAGGATGTTCACCCCCTCCGTGAGCTGACTCTCCAGTGCATGTGGGCTGCCAGTCGCCCGCAGTTCGGACAGGACATCGACGTTCCGAAGTCGGTCGGAGATCGGGTCATGTGCGTGGTCCCCGGGCTGAGAGGACCATTCGACCATACCATCACGGAACGCCTGATCTACTCGGACAACTACTTCAAGGATGATGAGGATGGCGTTGATGCGAAACTCGACCACGGACGACCATTGAGTGGTGTCAGTGCGCAGGTTCGCTCTGTGACCAAGTATCTGGTGGCGCGCATTCAATCCCGCGGAACCCAAGAGCAGGCACTGTATGTCAGCGACGACGCAACAGTCTGGCACCGCGCCGAGTTCGGCACCCATCGTATTGAGGAGGACGCATATACTATTTTGGAAAGCACAAACTACAGTATCCAGATTGATGTCCAGACAACCATGCACAAAAACCGAATGGGAAGTTTGTTCTCCTCCAACTCCAACGGCACCTACTTCACGAAAAACATCGACCACACGAACCAGGATGTGCGGGGAACTGTGGACTATGAGCGAGTCACTGATATTCCGGGCATCACCATTGTCAACACAGTCAAGAATTGGGAAGAGGCCAAGAAGTCTGACTCGACTGAGAAGAAGCTCGTCAGCAGTATCAGCTTTGACGATGGGAGGACCTTCCAGTCTCTCAAGGTTGATAAGGATGAGCTGCACATCCACTCAATGACAAGCTATTATGCGATGCGCAAACTGCCAATGCCCGGTCACCGGATGTTCTCCAGCCCTGCTCCTGGATTGGTCATGGGTGTTGGAAACACTGGTGATCATCTTAAAGAGTACGCGGATGGCGATCTGTATGCCTCTGACGACGCTGGTCTGACCTGGCGACGCGCGCTGAAAGGCCCGCACCGGTACGAGTTTGGTGACCAGGGTGGCGTCATTCTCGCCGCCAGCGATGGCAAGACGAAGAAAGTGCAGTATTCGATCGACCACGGCAAGGAATGGGAATCAATCTCCCTGGACCAAGAGATCGTACCTCTCTATCTCATTTCGACACCTGACTCAACCAGTCTCAAGTTCTTGCTCGTTGGTATTTCAACCGACAAGAACTTCGTCATGTTCTTCATTGACTTTGATGGCCTGCATGAGCGCGAGTGTGGCTCTGATGACTTGGAAGAGTGGACCGCCCGACTGAACGAGAAGGGCGAGCCGGACTGCCTGATGGGCCAGAAACAATTCTTCCACCGTCGCAAGCCGAACGCGGATTGCTTCATCAAGAAGGAATTCGCTATTGCTGGTCCTGAGTTTAAGCCTTGCAAGTGCTCAGCCGAGGACTTCGAATGCGACTACAACTTTGTTCGCAGTGACGACCGCAAGGAGTGTGTCCCCGCTGTGCCGTTGACTGCGCCTGCCGGAGAATGCAAGGAGCCTACCGATAAGTACATGGGCCCCTCTGGATGGCGCCTAATCCCTGGAAATGCCTGTATCCGTGACGGGGGCGAGAATCTCGAAAAAAAGATTGAACGCTCTTGCTCAAATTCCACAGGCGCGGCACCAATCGCAGATGGCAAACCTCGCTCGGGCAAGCCGCACAGCATCTCGGCCAAGCAGCCCGTGCACTTCTACCTAGAGCGCCAGGCTAGTAATACAGGAACTGATGAGACCATTGTCATGCTCGCGGACAAGGAGCTCTATGTCTCCCGTGACCATGGTCACAAATGGAAGCGCGCTTTTGATGACAAGGTTGTTCAAATGGCTCAGCACCCTTACTTCAGTGATGCGGCTTTCTTCATCACTGATAGCAAGAAGGTCTGGTACACCATCAACCATGGAGACTCCTTCCATTCATTTACCGCTCCCAGCGCACCCAACAAGGAAGATCTCCGAACGCTGGCTTTCCACGAAACGAAGCGGGACTCTCTGATCTGGATCGGTAACAAGGACTGCGATGGGCAGAGCTGTCGGTCGGAGGCATACGTCACCGACAAGCGTGGCGCCAGCTGGGACCCCATGCTTATTGGAGTTGGCGATTGCAGCTTTGGGGCGCACGAGGGCCGCAACAACAGCGATAACTTGGTGATCTGCGAGCAGTATAAGGACGAGGAGAAGAAGAACAACCGACAGCTGGTTTTTAGTGATGACAAATTCTCTACCAAGGAGACACCATTTGACAATATTGCTCACTACGGCGCGAAGAACGACTTCATTGTTGTCGCCTGGTTCGGCGATGCAGACAAGAAGTACATGAACGCCAGTGTCAGTGTTGATGGACGCAATTATGCGGATGCTCACTTCCCCTTCAACATTAACGTCCCCTCGTACACCATTCTGCAGAGCTCGCCGCATGCCCTTTTCCTCCTTGTGGAGACTAACATGGGCGAGGGACGCAATTTCGGCTCTGTGGTGAAGTCAAACAGCAACGGTACCTACTTCGTGCAGAGTCTCGAGGCTGTCAACCAGAATGACCGAGGCATGGCCGACTTCGACAAAATGGAAGGCCTGGAAGGCGTGCTCGTCGCAAACGTTGTTATCAACTCCAAGGATGTTCAGACCAAGGGCAGCACCAAGAAGCTTCGCACTGTGATCACCCACAATGATGGAGGAGAGTGGGCTTTCGTGGCACCTCCAGCTAAAGACGTCGATGGCAAGAAATTTGACTGTTCCGTCACCGAAGGAAAGGGCACTGATAATTGCGCCCTCCACTTCCACGGTTTCTCTGAACGTCGTAACTACCGCCACACCTTGTACTCTGGCTCGGCGGTCGGTCTCATGCTCGCCCTGGGCAACGTTGGTCCCAATCTTGGTCCTGCTGCTGAGGCAGATACCTTCCTCACCAATGACGGTGGTATCTCCTGGACACAGGTAAAGAAGGGTCAGTATATGTGGGAATACGGTGCTGCGGGCTCGGTCATTGTTCTTGTCGCCGAAGGTAAAGCCACGAAGGTTGTCCACTACACCCTTGATGAGGGCGCCACCTGGCACGAGTTCCAATTCGCAGAGAAGGAGCTTGTCATTAACGATATTTCCACTCTTCCGTCTGATACTTCCAAGAACTTCCTTCTCTGGGGTGTCGACGGCGGTAAGACCGTGACGATTCCTCTGGATTTTAGCGCCATCTGGGGTCGGGATTGCAAAGACGACGAAAACGACTACTTCATGTGGACGCCCAGTCACCCCTTCCAAGAAGAAAACTGTCTCTTCGGCCATGTGCAAGAGTATCATCGCAAGAACCCCAAGGCCGAATGCTGGAATGCCTGGCGCGAGCCTCACATCCACAGCATCGGCCGCAACTGCACCTGCACGCGCGCCGATTTCGAATGGTCAGTCCTCCCTTCAACTCACGAACCCACATGCTAACCGATTCCAGTGACTACAACTACGAAATGCAAAGTGACGGCAGCTGCGGTCTGGTCCCCGGCCTGCCCAAGCCCAACCACATCACTCAATGCACCGCCGACCCCGAGCGGGTCGAATACTGGGAACCCACGGGCTATCGCCGAATCCCGCAAACCACCTGCCAAGGTGGACTTCTGCTCGACCAGGACGTGTCGCATCCCTGTCCGAACAAGGAAGAAGAGTACAACAAGAAACACGGCATCAGTGGCGTGGGACTCTTCTTCGCGATCGTGATTCCCATCCTCGCCGCCGCCGCCGTGGGCTGGTACGTGTACACGCACTGGGATGGCAAATTCGGCCAAATCCGCCTGGGCGAGAACGGTACCACCTCCCGTGATGCATTCGCCATCCCCGTCGCAATCATCGCGGGCGTAGTAGCCGTGGCTCAGTCTGTGCCTCTGTTGGTCAGTAGTCTATTCCGGAGTGCGGGTGGGTTATTCAAGCGCGGCCAACGGCCCTACGCGACGCGGGGATCTTTCGCCGCTCGTCGTGGTGATTACACTCACGTCGTTGACGACGAGGATGAACTGCTAGGCCCTGATGACTTCGATGATGAAGAAGAGGCGTGAAGCGTTTAGATGTAGGATTTGGATATATTGATGTTTGCAAGAGATTTATGCGATTCTATTTCAACGCATCCGGCCCGAATGAATCGGGGAGTAACTATTTCCATTAGCGACGTGTTTCCATCTCGATTTCTCCCACTCACCTCATCCAGCGTCATCACCTTGTGCTTCCCTTCGCCGTCGTACATGTAGACGGGGAATTGAGGCCCTGTGAATTCGCGAATGCTGTAGAACTGATTAGCGTCGTGGCCCGACCCGCCACACATCACTTACAATTGTCTACACATGCCACACGGCGATGCAGGCGGCGTAATATCCGTCGCCACCGCCAGCGCCTTGAAGTCCTTGTGTCCAGCGACCTACGCCGCGTTAGTGGTGCTCGCAACCCCACGCATGCGCACTTACCACGGCGGTTCCGAAGGCAACGCGCTCCGCACACGTTCCCACGGGATACGCGGCGTTCTCGACGTTGGCACCGGTGATAAATTCACCGGTGGTGGTGAGAATGCATGCTCCGACGCGGAATTTGGAGTAGGGGCCTAGCGTGGTTAGATGAGGTTTTCATTCCCGGGTGGCGGGCTTACAGTAGGCGGTTGCTTTGGCGCCGATCGCCTTGGTGGAGAGGATCTCCAGTTCCTGGGCTGAGACAGACATGAGGACCTTGTTATGTGTGGGAAAGAGAGCAGAAAGGATGTTCGGCGGGGAAATGAGGGGTTAGCCGAGATGTGTCGATATTTATATCTCGGTCTATTGTGTCTACTTATGTTTGCATTCTGTAACTAGATATCGTACGGAGTCGCCCCCAGGTGCTTCCAAACAGCTGCACTATCCAACTCCGTCTTCTGCCGGAGTGTCATCGTCACTTCAGCCTGTCCATCGTTCATGTAAACCACACTCTGGCCCTGCCCGATGTTAGCAATGGACTGGATGGGAAAAGCCTCACTTACCAGCCCAATGGTGACTTTGGTCAATCCTTCCCACCACTGTTGCCGGTACTTCACCTGCGCACGACCCTGGATAGACCGCAGGATGTTCTGCGCAACGGCCTGTCCCTGCTCCATCGCTGATCGTCCATTCTTGATGACCTCGTCAATCACATCACCCGCCGCATACACATTGGTATGTTGCGCATCTTGCACCTGCAAGGTATCTTGGACGCGAAGATGACCCGACGGAGTGAAGCTATTGGAGTCCAAAAATCGAAACAGATCAGTGTTTGGTTTTTGTCCAATGCATTTGACCTGGGGGTGTTAGAATCACTGTCTAGTATGTCAATTGCATACATCCACTCACCAAGCAGTCGTAATGGACCGTCCGATCCTTCAAGACAATCTCGCCAGCGAACTCGTCTGGAATGGCTGGCCTTTCCCCCAAGACAAGATCCACCCCCAGCCTCTCCATCTCCTTGGCGACAGCATCGTGAATCTTTGGCCCAAACCCAGCCCCAAGCAACTTCGGATGCGAATGAATGAGCGTCACGTTCTTCTCGGGATAGTGCGACTTGAGATCCGTCGCCAATTCTACTCCAGCAGCACCTCCGCCAATGACGACGATGTCTTCCGCGCGATCAAAACGTCGCTGCTGGCCCCGGAGGGCGATGATACCCTCTTCCTTGGAATCCCAGTTCACCCGCGAGGGTAGCTCGGCCGTACACCCGGTCGCAATTACCAGGTATTCGTAGTCGATCCAGTCCCCCGACGAGACCTGGACTCGGCTGGCTCCCTCCTTCGGTTGGATTGCGGTGACGGAGTCGTGAACCCATAGGCATGCACCGTCTGGGGCATTGATATACGGTGAGTACGGAATAAAGGCTTTATTCTCATGGCCTTGGACCACTGAGAAGCGTGGTAGAACCCATGTCAGTTGGAAGTGGGAGTTCTTCTCAATCACCACCACGCGATATCCCGTGGGCAACGAGTTGGCAAGGCAGTGCGCGGCGTGGTAACCAGCAAAGGAGGCACCGATGACCACGATATTCTTGGATTCGCCTGGTTTGTAGGTGTGTTTATGGAGGATACGACGGAGTTTCCATTGCAGTTGGAAGAGAGCTTTGCGAAGAATTACGGTGATTAATTTGCCGATAAGAATCAACCGGCCGAACATGCTGTCTTTTGCAGAACAAAAACATCTCGTGAAGTGATTAAAAATTAAACAGAAGCAGAAAAGTCCGCGGAAACTCCGTGGTGGGCTGACTCGGCCTGCATCTCGTCCCGGTTTGCCTCTTCGGGATACGAGCTTCAAGCCCACTTTCCGATGAGCGCCATAATTCCGGCGCCTAACAAGGTACATCCGACCATGAACAGAAGCTTGGATCGTCGCTTGGTGCGGCTCGGATCAAACAAGAAGTCGCGGGCCAATAGCTCCACAAGACTGGTGTAGATCAGGATCCCGGCCGAGATCGCATTCAACACACCTTGGATGATCAGGGACACCTTGGAGCCGGGTGTATACGTCGTGTGCACTCCTAGCCCGATTGCGATCGAAATAGGAGTGGTCAACCCGTAGGCAGCACACAGAATCCACGGAAGCCAAGTGTGTTTACCGAATGGAATGGCAGACATGCGTGCGCCAATTCCCAGCCCCTCAAAAGACTGGTGGAAGACGAGGACAGGGTAGAGGGTGGCGAACTCCGAGCCTGTCACGCCCAGGTTGAGACCGATGATGACGGAGTGGAAGATGATACCGAATTCGAGGAGAAGGAAGGCCGCAATCTGTTGGCGAAAAGAGCGCTCGGCTGAAATGCTGTCGCCTTCTGAGGACCATGTTTCGATACCTCCCTGCTTCTCTTGACCGGTCGGAGTGGGTTGATTCCAGTCTGGGGCGTTGGGATCTTGGAGGAAGACGTTCGTGGCCTCTTCATCCCGGGAAACGCCATATTTATGCTCGACATAGACCTCGGCTGCAAGATCTAGCAGGAAGATCACCACGATTGAGCCAAGGACGATGGCGGCACACCAGGAGTATTCGCTCCAGTAACCGGATTGTCCGATACAGGTCTTCGGACCGATCCGTTTATAGGCGGGATCGAGAAGATGCACAAAGGCCGTGGCAAGGATGACGCCCGTGCCGAAGTACCGGGCGAAGAGATAGACGCTTTGGGGAATCTTCCAAGAGGGCATCCTCTTGGACAAGACCGGGAAGACCGTGAAGGCAGAGGACACGAAGAGAATCACGAAGATAGAGGAGATGCGAGCCCCGAGATGACCGTTGTAGTCATTATCGGAAACGGCGAAGTAGCAGAGGACATCTTCCTTGCTGGCCGTGGAAAGATTGACATTGGTCGGATCGAAAGTCATCGTGAGTGCAGCGTTCACAAGAATGGAGAGAGAGAGAGAGAGACATGGGGATGTTCCCTATGTCTCTTTATCTTATGGGGCTGAGTACCTTGGTGACACCCAGCCCATTGCGAGCAACCCTGCTGCCTGTCAGTCGGAGCTTGTCGTCGGCTAAGCAATTCTAAGTGGGTCGATGTCCATAGGGCTGAGTAGGGCTGAACTGTGGACTTTTTGCCATTGCATCTCATACATCCTTTCATGTTGATGCCAATCAAAACAGTATTACCTGAGTACTCCATGTTCCCCTTTGGGCTCACATTGCTTTGCTTCTGAACTCACAGCATTATCTCTGAATTGCAAGACGAAGAGATCGGGTCCTTGGGGACCCCGGGGGTTAGTGTCTCCATTTGCCAGACATTTGATATTGCGGCATGGGGATTGGCACAGAAATTGCCGTGGAGTACCCAATACATGTTCCTCGGCAGTGAAGTTGACTAGAACTGAACAAATGATAGAAAGGGGTAAATGATCAACACAAGAAGTCTCAATCGACGTGAGGTCCGAAGGAGGGTGACGTAATTCGTTGTGGCCCCCGGCACAGAGAGTCCTAGGTCTCTAATATTGTCCGATCATACCGATCTGATTGGTGATGGCCATGGTGAAGGAGTTGGGGATGTTTCGGGGGTTCTACGGTCAAGGGGCTGCGTCTGATGTTGCTTTGAGGAAGTTGAATCCAGAGTTGAAATCCTTCGCGGATTAGCTCAAGAACGAGAGTCAATTTGAGACTCGGTGATGCGTCAAGTTGGTGCTTAAGGCAAGGAACACTTGCAATTGCCGTCCCAGAGGCGGACATAGTAAATGATAATAATCTTGGCTTGGCTTCTGAATTGGTCGGAAGCATCATACATCCAATCATTATCTTCAGTTCCCTCTCAGGTTGCCAGGGAGTGGTGTCACCCATTCTGGTGCCATTCAGTGTGGAATAGCGGTCGTGGGGAAATCTCTAATCCCATCTTCATGCACTCCCCCATCTTTCATTCAACCGGTGTAGTTTCCGAACCGTCAATGGATAAACCATCTTTTATGGCCTGGAAACCCAGAGACAGTCGATGAGGCTTGGTCCGCCAGATCTGATCGGGATCAATGTCTTCGGTTTCTGCATTTCGGTCTGTTGGGGGGTTGTCTCGAAGCCACCAGGTTGATACTATATCGTACCCCCGAGCAGCAACGCCGTAGCCACAGTTGGACATGTGCACAAATACTTGTTTGGTCCAAGTATATTTCTCCCAGCATCCAGCAGCACTGTATATCATGGCAAGATGACTTGTGGTTGAAATCCCCGGGTAGGATCCTCGTGTGTTCATGCCAGCTTGAGAACAATATGGGAGACTCCGTGCAACCCTATCAGCATAGAAAATCGAGCTTGTTTGATCATCTGTAGTCGAGCCGGCTGCCCCAGGATTACGCGCTTTTGATATCACAAGACACCGTGCTTTGTGTATCAAGGGGCATAGAATCATGGACCCCATCCAGAAGAAGATGTGTAGTTTAGCACTTTCAAGGGAGGGGAATTTATAGGCCGGTCCAAACCATTGATCCGTCGGGGGTAAGTTCGAGTTCAGTTCACCTGGAAGGGAGGTAGGGTGAATATGAGCCATTTCTTTGTGAAAAAGGGCTGCAGGATGGGCTTTCTTTACCTGGACCATATGTGGATTCTTTCCAGCCAATTCTTCCTTCCCATCGATGATACCATGCCATTTGTTTCTCTTGCAAGACCAAACAATTTGAGAGAAACTCCTGACAGGATCCATCGTTGGAGACAAAGATGGAGCCGCCCTTTTTGTAGAGAAGGCCAATATCTGCCATGATCTGGAACAATTCGAGTAAGGGGTCGCCTAACGCCGGCTGCGAGAGATATTCGTAGTCGTCATCCGACAAACTTAGAAAGTTGGTGATAAACTGTTTCAGGTCAGTCTTGGGTATAAAGAGACGCAGTGTCGATCCAACTTACTACTTTCAACTTGTGGTGCTTGTGGTAGATGGCGGCTGTCAGGGGAGCTGCAAGTATCTGGGGACGATACCGTTTCAAGATCGAACTTATTCCCACGACATGCATGACGAATGCCCCCAGGTTGTTCGGGCAATAGATAGCCTGAATGAATGTCAGATGTGTCATCAACGCTAGACGGGGGGGGGGGGGGGGGGGGGGGCCCCCCCCCGCGGGGGGGGGGGGGGGGGGGGGGAAGACCACCGCCAGACGCACCAGGTGGTGGAGGGGGCGGGGGTGGTCCTCCAGGTGCTCTCGAGCCAGGCGCTGGAGGAGGGGGTGGCATTGATGGACCGCG